TGCGAAGAGGACGCGGACGGAAGCTGCCACGCCGAAGGTGAGTCTGGAGTCAGTGTGGTGACGAGACAGGCTGCTTTGTGAGCGGAGTGGCACCACTGGTTTTCTAAGTGTAATAATGAACTAATTTAAAAGCAATAACATTTTCATTGCATTAGTAGCGCCATGAAAAAGTCATTGCATTATGAGTGCAATACATTTTGTATTGCAGTAGCACATTTACCACTTTATAAGCGTTGTTATCATTTTATCACACCAAAACTGTGATAATCTGGGCCCAGACCGACCAGAACCTACGAGACTTATTGCGGTTTTAATGCGATAAATTTTTCATAGCTGCCACAGATGTGACAATTTAAAGGAATCACATTAGCCTTTTTATCGCAGCAAAATTCTTAATTGGCTGAGCGATAGCGAAGCCCGTAGCTCCAGTGGGGTTCAAAAAACCTTTTCTGTCCGCGTGCGTTCGTGTGTGTGTTTGTGTGTGGGGGTGTGCGCGCACCAATCGTGTTGAACGGCTCGGCCGATCTGGCAGAGATTTTGCAGGGTCATTAGGTATGTTCTTGGCTCGCCACACACCAAAATTCAGATTTCTATCTCAATCCATTCGGTCATATTAGCTAAAAAATTTCTTTTAAAAAAACTGCAGATAAAAGACAACTTTTTAGGCACTTTCAACTTTATGTCAAGTTTGATGTCATCGCATATGTTTTGGAGGCTGCTGTGACCAAAATGGGATCCATTCGGACCCCCGACTGAAAGTTAAGTCCCAGCAGTGTAGATTTTGATGACCAAATGCTATTTATTGAAGGGATCACGCCCATTTCTACGGTCTGCCTAGGAAAGCAGCCTACCGAAGGCAGGTTAGCGCCGCAGGCCAAGGTAGGTGTATTCGCCAGGCGAAACTAGCGCAGCATCGCGAAGCCTGTTACGACAAGACACGGTCTGGCGTACAGCTACCTTGTTATTGCAAAAAACTGAGATGATGACAATTCAAAATCCGCAATCATTACAGTTTTTTTTGCAAATGATCATTACAAGGTAGGTGTACGCCAGACCGTGACTTGTCATAACAGGCTTCGCGATGCTGCGCCAGTTTCGACAATCCACGCCTGGCGTATACACCTACCTTGGCCTGCGGCGCTAACCTGCCTTCGGCAGGCTGCCTTCCTGAGCAGACCGAAGCAATGGGCGTGATTCCCTGAAAACAGCATTTGGTCATCAGAATCTACACTGTTAGGACTTAACTTTCGGGCAGAGGTCCAAGCGGGTTCTTTCTACGTCATCACCAGCCTCTAAAACCTATAAAACGACATGAAACTTGACAAATAGTTGAAGGTTCGTAAAAAGTTGTCTTTTTTCTGCCGTTTTTGAAGTTTTTTTTTTTTTTTTTTTGCTTATTTAACCGAAAAGATTGAGATAGTAAGGGAAGGTGGGGTACCATGTGACACTTTTAGGCGGATGCCCGCCAACACGAAACTAACAATTGTACGGATCCATACTGCTCGTGCCGACAAAGAGGGGTCCCTTAGCTTCAAAGTCCCGTTGAGCTTTTCATTTTACCTCGATTGGTTGCGAAGGTATCCCAGTTTGATTGGGTGCATGTAAAATGTTACATGGCGTACCACTGAGTTCACCATGTGACAGCCCGTGGGCACCATGTGACACCTCAGACTAATGTGTAAAAATTGCTGTTTTTCAATGGAAATATTCGTAGATGTATTTAAAAAATGGTTAGGAAAGCAAGGAAACACATCTATGTTAATCAAAATATAATTTATTTTAAAAAATCAACTTATTTTTGACGCACGCATCGTCGCCCAAATTTGGGTGACGAGCCAGCGGTGACCAAATTTTGGGCAGTCTTAAAATCGTCACCCCAATTTGGGTAACGCCGTCGACGACGCCGTGACGTCCCCGATGACGTTCTTCCGAGGCCACCACGATGATCCAATGTGGCGTTGAGGCCTCCGGTCATCGTGCTGGCCCCGGAAGGACGTCATCGGGGACCTCACGGCGTCGTCGACGTCGACGGCGTTACCCAAATTTGGGCGACCGAACGCCTGTTACCAAATTTCGGGTGATGATTTTTTCGTCACCTAAAATTGGGCAACGAAGTTGCATCACCCATTTAATGGGTGATGGTGGTGACCCATTCATTCTCAGTGTACCGTCTGCAGGTCGGCCCGGCCCGCGCCCGGCCATGGGTGTCGTCTGCAGAGGCCAACTCCTTTGTAGTTCCAAACCTGGCCACCAGGCGGCGCTAGGCTTTGCCTTCGAGCCCCCAGAGACGCCCAGCCACCCCTAACCTCTCTCAAACACATACACACAAGGGTTAGTGTAATGTCCCACGCCTACAACACACAAAAGCAGGACTTATTGGGGAAAACAGGAAAATCGCGGATTAGAGAAGGTGTCACATCGTGCCCCACATCGAGTGACACATCGTGACCGAAGGGGTGGTTTTCGAGGAATTGACAACTGCGCCCTTATCCCTTGCGATAGAGAAGCGAGCCCAAGCTTATTTTACGCTTAAAACATCAAAGGAGAACATCCTGCAAGGCATAGGCCGTTTAAGTGTGTTTAAAAGGTGAAAAGCGGACGCGGCGTGAAATAGAAAAAAATTCCAATTACCTGTTTTGGGGGGGGGTAAAAATTTCTCGTGTCTCTACTTTCCGCCCTGTTCGACGCACAGTCACGGCCTGTTCGACGTCGATGCCCCTTCTTGATACCGCACACACACACACAGACATAAATAGTTTTTTAACCCCACTGGAGTAACAGGTTTCGCAATCGCTCAGCCAACATAATTCTGCGATACAGCAAACCATCTCACCATCTTGCATTGATCATCACCGAAAAGTGCCCTTTCGCCTAAAGCGCGGTCTGTATCGCAAGTGGAATAACAGAGCAGTCAGGCAGACAGTGGTCATGTGCGCAAGCATTCTCGAAGCCGCTGTTTCGTTTGAGGCTCGTATTTTTGGTTCCCATTTCGAAGGTCGTAGCACATTTTTCGCTCGTTTCTTATTTCAGGAAGGGCCGTTACTGTGACCTGCCACCTCTGAAAGCAGCGGGTGGCGGTTCTTTAAAAAGCACGACTCGTTAAAACAAAATAAAGCATGCATTTTGACCTGCTTGAAATTCTGTACAATTACACGGTAAAAGTGAAACCTGGGATTCCCAGGAGCCCTATGTTATAAGGTATAGGAGTTTCCAGGAGATTCCTGGGATTCCCAGGAAGCGTTTTTACCGTGTATGCACAAACGCGTGCCTTCTAGCACCTTAAATTCGTGCATATCGGAACCCATGCTCAATTACGTGCAATGCTTATGCGCCAAATAAAGCATAGTAATTTAGTCCACAGTGAAGAATCCGTTGCCTGGTTCACAGGACCCCCAGCGGCCACCCCGCAGCTCCGCATCAGCAGCACCTTCTCCCTGGCCGGCCCGGCCGGCGATGCGGGGCAGGCGGAGCAGGCTTGGCGGCAGACGCGCAGCAGGAAGGCGAGGCTGGACTCCAAGCTCGGGGAGTCCGGGAACAAGTCTCGGGACAAGGCGGCCCCGCGGAAGCACCGAGCAGGCAACTCAAAGGCGGGGCGTGTGCCAAGTGTGCGGCAAGGACTGGCCGTCAGCTTCTAGGCTGGAGGTTCATGCGAGGAAGCACACCGGAGAGAAGCCCTACACTCTAAATGTAGGGTGTCCAGAAACTGGGCGACATTTGGCACCCTAAAAAGTGGGGCAGGTGACAAAGGCGCCCAGTTTCTGGGCACCCCATATGTAGAGTGTACGAGTGCGACGTGTGCAAGAAGAAGTTCGCTCAGAAGAGTAATCTTGATTCGCACATGAGGGTTCACACTGGTGAGAAGCCGTATAAGTGTGATGCGTGCGAGAAAAACTTTTCTTTCAAAGAGGATCTTAAGCGGCACACGAGGATCCACAGGAGAAGCCCTACGAGTGCCACGTGTGCAAGAAGAAGTTCGCTCAGAAGGGTAATCTTGATTCGCACATGAGGGTTCATACTGGTGAGAAGCCTTACGAGTGCGACGTGTGTGGAAAGAAGTTTTCGTGGCCACATCTTTTTGCAGCACACAAGCGAATGCACTCTGGGGAGAAACCGTAGAATGTGACGTGTGTAAGGAAAAGTTCACTTGGAAGGATGGTCCTGGCTTGCACAGGAGGCTTCCCACTGGAGAGACGCCTTAAGTACAGAGAACTGTCAGTGTCGTTGTTCCATGCCCACGCGCTTATTCATGTGTGATGCAAGGATTTGATTTGTACAGTGGTCGGTTTTCTGTCTTAGTCTCGGAGGATTGACTCAATGTGCACGCGGACACTGCAAACAGTTTAGGATTAGAATTTTCGCGCCTCTAGAATTTGTTTCTTTACCAGTTTACCTGTAAAATTTATTGGCTAGCTGGTGCTTTATTTTGTAAGACACTGTTGACACGGTAGCAAAACGTTCTATATGTGGCAGTGAATTGTTCTGTCTCATTTGTCATGTTTCTTTTAGCCATTGCAAGGATTATACAAAAAGCTCTGTTATTAAACTAATATTTTCCTTCCCATCGCGATTTTGTTCCCGGACATGTATTTAAGGAAAGAGTGACAAATAAAACTGTCGAAGTCATTATTGGTTACGCACTATTTTTGTGAAATGTGTCTCTTCATAGCAAAACAGGTCAAGGAAGGCGAGTGCGCACACTAAACTTCTTACGGATTCATATCTGTATTCCGGACATTTTTGTGCAATTGCAATTACGGATAGACTTTGCTTGTTATACGGATGAAATCATCCGTAATACAAAGAGTTTTTCGTCCGTACCTTACGGATATTTTCGTCTGTATGTTAGGGACACGAAAACCTTTGTATTACGGATGAAATCATCCGTATTACAAACAAAATCCATCCGTAATTGCAATTGCACAAAAATGTCCGTATTGCGGATACATGGTGTCCGTAAGGAGTCTTCAGTGCGTGTCTGCCGCCATCGCGGTTCTTTGCGTCTCTTTTTCTAATTCGCTTTTTGTTTCAGGCCCAGACCACTGTGAAGCAGGATGCTTCGGTTTTGCATGGCTGCCTCTGTTTCTTCTCAGAAACGTCGCACACTTAATTCAGTTCAATTGGAAGCTATTATTTTGACGAGGTTGTGGGTGGCGGTAGTTGGTACTTTCTTGCACCTCTGTCATGCATGGCGGGTCGGTGGGTCGGTTCAGGTGGTGGTCCGTGGTGCTTGCGGCGTGCTCCTCGCACGAGGTTCGCTGGTTCCGCCCTGCAACCGCCAAACTTATTGGCCTTCGACACAACAGCCCGCGTGTTAAGGGACCCTTAACTGTGGCCGTCGTGCCCGAGGACCGGTGTCTTGCCCGTTTGGCTCCACTAACGCTGTGATGCTTGCAGGTTCCGTGAAGGCCGAGGAATCGGAAGACCTTGAAGGAAGGGACAATGGAGAGGACGCGAATGGCGGTTTCGCAGGCGAAGGTGAGTGCGTCTGGAGCTAACGACGAGACTCCTTTTTCAAAGGATCTTATCCGGGCGTCCCCCAAGACAATCTTATCTTAAACGCAGGCGAATTTCACTCAGTTTGACCATTTGGGACGGGTACTAGGGCAAGCGGAATATATTTCTACATGCACTTTTGGTTCATTTGATCTTCAATTTCAGCGAGGGAATAAACACTCGTGTAATACCCAGTACACAAAAACAGTGTATTACGCGTGATACACGTAACTGTAATATCATTTTAAGGCAAAATGTGCCAAATTTTGGCATTTTAATGCCGTAATACACGTGTAATATACCCGCAATACAGCGTAATACCGAGTACTCTGTAAGGGAGGGTGGGGCACCATGACCACTGGGGCACCATGACCGACCCCCTCGCTCTCGGGAACTACTTTGCCGACGGCAACCGGTCGACCGGACTTTCGAGAGAATAGAATTCTAAGTATTTTCAGCCAGAGCCCTACCTTCTAGCTTCAAGGGTACGACCATAGCACCTCGCCAAAATTTTTGTTACAGCGTTTTGGCTAAATTGGGCGTTTTTCAAATCTGAGAGATTTTTTCTCACTCTCACATTTGAGGAGATAAGTTCGATGTCTTAGGTTTTTTTAAAATGTCGGCTCTCCGGCAAAATATCCAACATCACATTTAATTCTAAGTAGCTTTTTGCTTGCTCGGGGAGCCTTAGAGTCGTAAACTGCATTGTGGGGAGCCATGACCACTTCTTAGTGGGGCACCATGACCATACATATTTGAGTGTTTTTTCTCATATTTTGGCCTGATAGTGATTTATTTTCGTCGAAAATTTGCTTTTTGCTTCTGAAAATGTATAAAGGTTGAATAATTGCTGCAGAAAAGATAGTTTTATCACAAATCGTGAATCACCAGGATGATTAAGAATGGTTCTGAAACTGAGACTTAAAATGGTAGTTTCTCTTGCACTAAATGAGCTCCAAACCGCAAAAGTTGGCCGCGAAGGCGATCCGTGGCTACTTTGCACCAAGATGGCTCTGGCATTATGAGAAACAGCATTTAATTCACTTGTTTGCAGTGTAGTAACCGCGATAATTTTCTTAAAATTTACCAAATTGAAATCTGCATACGAATTTGGATTCGTCTTAGCAAGACAAACATAAAATGTTAACACATGTCATAGCTTTGGATGTGAAATTAGAAAGCCTTAGAGCGTCAACTGTTTTAAACCGTCCATTTTAAGGCATCTTAGAACGTTTGATACTTCGAAGGTTTTTACAGTGTTTTTTAGCTAAGTTGACTGGCCTGATGGTAAGGACAGCGATATAAACAATTTCAATGAGAATACTGGTAGAAAGTACACTTTTTTGGGCCAAAAATTACTATGGTCATGGTGCCCCACGGGGTGGTCATGGTACCCCATAGGTGGGGCGCCATGACCACTTTGCGTTTTATTTTCCAAAGTGTTCTGTGAGCCTGCCGTGCATTGCAGACAAGTTCCAATGGGTGGAAGAGGTCCTTGGAGGTCCAATGAATCCCCTCATGCTGGAAACTTAACTTTTCGAACCACACGGTAGAGTAGAGGGAGGCACAAAAAAAAAGTGGTCATGGTTCCCCACCCTCCCTTACACGATCTGATGGAGTGTCAACCCCCTCGCATTTCAGTGAATTTAGTAACCAATTATGTTTGTTTGTTGCTGTATCAGATGAAACTAGGTGAAATTCGTCTGCGCAGGGCTCTAAGTCACTCAGCAAAGTGCCCTCTTCCATTCCGTTCTGTTTGTTAAAGTCCGATACAAGGGTTCGCATAACCTGGCATGGACATCGATAATGGTGACCACTTAATGAACAACCAAGTGACCAAGGCGCCTTTGCAACTAGTCTCCTTTGTCGGGGCATTCATAGTCAATGGAAAGAGGCCAATATCTGAATTTTCCGGACCTTAAAAGAAGGCGAAGAAAGGTTCTTGAAAGAGAACGCCTGGCACACCAACAACTGGATTAGGCGGCAAGTTCAGGGAATACCTGAATTGGAGCATACACTGTTAAAAAACGTGCTGTAAATTAACAGCACTTATGCTGTTAAGTATGATAGCAACACGACTTGTTTTATTACAAGCCTGTTGTAGCCCTCGGTGCTGTTTTCTGACAGTACGATTGTTATAAAACAATACTTCTTTGGAGTCTTCGATGAAGTCTTCGCTACGTTTGTGTTGATCTCATCGTGCCGTTATTAAACAAGACCCCTCTAACCTGACAACAACGTATGTTTTTAGATTGCAAAAGGCTGTTTCTAAACATGAAACCTGCTCAACGACAACACAACTGTTTTGAATCACGATAACATTATTGTTACTTGACAAGGAAGTTGTTTTGAAACGAAAGTGTTGTTTCTCGATGGGTTTCCCGTTTTGACACAAAACAAGACTGTTGTTATTTAACAGCATTCACTGGTAAAACTAAGGCGTAGTATTACGCCTCTTTGAAGCGTACTAAAGGCTGGAACGCCCTGCTTCAAGCGTAGAGTTTGTGCGCTTGAAGCCAAGCGCACTCAAGCCAGGTCAGAAATTCTTACGCCATGCTTCAAGCGTAAAGTCAGTACGCTCAATTTCAAGCGTAAAGAAAACCTATGCTCAATTTTACAAGCACAGGAGAATGCGCACATTCATCGTGTAAAACCAGCTTAATTTAATTTCAGATAATATCTTACATTAGCTTCATGCATCCTTCAGACAATAAATGAACTTTCAAAGAAAATTACAAAATGTATGAAAAAGATGTTTGGGAGTCCAAGTCCTATTGGCCTTTAGGACTCCGGAACACTCCAAAAGTGTTTACACCTGGCGCAATTCCGATATTTTTTGCTTTTTACACCCCGGAGTGTGAAAAGCAACAAGTAACTTATTTGCACTCGAGACTGAGGGTGAATAGTCTAGATGTGTGTTTGTGTTGACAAACTTTATTTCAAACGGATCAGTTTCACCATTTGCACCATGTCAAGCATTTTGAAGTTGTGCCCAGTGTGTCGCCCGAAGAAATCTTTATGCTCACAGTCACAGCATACTCACAAACTTGAAAGTAGAGTAAAATCGAACTGTCCTATCAGCACCAAGAGGTTATGTAGTCTGTCTGTGGGGCTAGGCCTTCAGCATGTCATCAGGAACCATGAAAACCAGCGCCAGCGGTCTGAGACTAAGAAACAAATCATAAACATTAAAACCAAACCAGCAGGAACAATTAATGGATAGCACTACAAGGTAAGTGTCTCAAGAGTGAACGCCGGAATTGCGCCAGGTGTAAACACTTTTGGAGTGTTCCGGAGTCCTAAAGGCCTATAGGACTTGGACCCCCAAACATCTTTTTCATACATTTTGTAATTTTCTTTGAAAGTTCATTTATTGTCTGAAGGATGCATGAAGCTAATGTAAGATATTATCTGAAATTAAATTAAGCTTGTTTCACACGATGAATGTGCGCATTCTCCTGTGCTTGTAAAATTGAGCATAGGTTTTCTTTACGCTAGAAATTGAGCGTACTGACTTTACGCTTGAAGCAGGGCGTAAGAATTTCTGACCTGGCTTGAGTCCGCTTGGCTTCAAGCGTAGCTCTTCTTTACGCTTGAAGTCAAGCGCTGAAGTACGCTTCAAGATTTTACGCTTGAGGAAAGGCGTAATACTACGCCTTAGTTTTACCAGTGTTACTGTAGGTGATTGTGTTGTAATATTACAGTGGATTTTTAACAGTGTAGGCCCATCACTTTCTTACCAATGAACATCAAACAGTTTTCTTCACGCCTGGGAAATCTTCGAGATGTTTTGCACTGTGGCGTGACCCCATTTCTTGCCTTGTTCGTAGGACCCCCAGCGGCCACCCCGCAGCTCCGCATCAGCAGCACCTTCTCCCTGGCCGGCCCGGCCGGCGATGCGGGGCAGGCGGAGCAGGCTTGGCGGCAGACGCGCAGCAGGAAGGCGAGGCTGGACTCCAAGCTCGGGGAGTCCGGGAACAAGTCTCGGGACAAGGCGGCCCCGCGGAAGCACCGAGCAGGCAACTCCAAGGCGGGGCGACACGTGTGCCAAGTGTGCGGCAAGGACTGGCCATCAGCTTATAAGCTGGAGATTCACGCGAGGAAGCACACCGGAGAGAAACCGTACGAGTGTGATGTGTGCGGGAAAACGTTTTCCATGAAACATAGTCTTGAGTGGCACACGAGGATCCACAACGGGGAAAAGCCCTACGAGTGCGACTTGTGCAAGAAGAAGTTCGTTCAGAAGGGTGCTCTTGATAGGCACCTGAGGATCCACACCGGTGAAAAGCCCTACAAGTGCGACGTGTGCAAGAAGAAGTTCGCTGTGAGGAGTAATCTTGTTGTGCACATGAGAGTTCACACCGGTGAACAGCCCTACAAGTGCGACGTGTGCAAGAAGAAGTTCACTGAGAAGGGTAAACTTGATGTGCACATGAGGGTTCACACTGGAGAGAAGCCGTACGAATGCGACGTGTGTGGGAAAAAGTTCACTCAGAAGGGTCATCGTGATTTGCACCGGAGGCTTCACACTGGCGAGAAGCCTTAGTTTTGTACGGAGAAGTGTCAATTGTGTGTCGTTCAATGGCCACGCGCTCATTTATGTGTGTCGCAAGGATTTGATTTGTTCGGTTTTCTGTCTTCGTGTGGGTGGACTGACGCAATGTGCACGCGGACACTTATAACAGTGAAGGATAGGTTTTTCGCGCCTCTAAAATTTGTTTCTTGACCAATTATTTGCTATTTATCTTGCCTAGTTATTGCGAAAGGCTTTGTATGTGACAGTGCATTGTTTTATTTTCATTTGTCATGTTTCTTGTGGCCATCAAAAGCTTTGTTACTGAATAAATATTTCCTTTACCTTTCCATTGACAAAATAGTTCCCGGTCCTGTAACTATTAAAAGAGTGACAAATGAAACTGTTGAAAGCCACTAAGGGTGCTCACATCTATTCTTGTAAAATGTGCCTCTTCACAGCAAAGCAGAGTTCAAGGAAGGCGAGTGTGTCTGCCGCCATCGCGGTGCTTTGCGTCTCTTTTTCTAACTCACTTTTTGTTTCAGGCCCAGACCACTGTGAAGCAGGATGCTTCAGTTTGGCATGGCTGCCTCCGTTTCTTCTGAGAATCGTCGCATGCTTCATTCAGTCCGTTTAGAAGCTTTTATTTTGACGAGATTCCAGCAGGAACAATTAATGGATAGCACTACAAGGTAAGTGTCTCAAGAGTGAATGCCGGAACTGCGCCAGGTGTAAACACTTTTGGAGTGTTCCGGAGTCCTAAAGGCCTGTAGGACTTGGACCCCCAAACATCTTTTTCATACATTTTGTAATTTTCTTTGAAAGTTCATTTATTGTATGAAGGATGCATGAAGCTAATGTAAGATATTATCTGAAATTAAATTAAGCTGGTTTCACACGATGAATGTGCGCATTCTCCTGTGCTTGTAAAATTGAGCATAGGTTTTCTTTACGCTTGAAATTGAGCGTACTGACTTTACGCTTGAAGCATGGCGTAAGAATTTCTGACCTGGCTTGAGTGCGCTTGGCTTCAAGCGTAGCTCTTCTTTACGCTTGAAGTCAAGCGCAGAAGTACGCTTCAAGATTTTACGCTTGAGGAAAGGCGTAATACTACGCCTTAGTTTTACCAGTGAAGACAATCTTATCTTAAACGCAGGCGAATTTCACTCAGTTTGACCATTTGGGACGGGTACTAGGTCAAGCGGAATATATTTCTACATGCACTTTTGGTTCATTTGATCTTCAATTTCAGCGAGGGAATAAACACTCGTGTAATACCCAGTACACAAAAACAGTGTATTACGCGTGATACACGTAACTGTAATAACATTTTAAGGCAAAATGTGCCAAATTTTGGCATTTTAATGCCGTAATACATGTGTAATATACCCGCAATACAGAGTAATACCGAGTACTCTGTACACGATCTGATGGAGTGTCAACCCCCTCGCATTTCAGGGAATTTAGTAACCAATTATGTTTGTTTGTTGCTGTATCAGATGAAACTAGGTGAAATTCGTCTGCGCAGGGCTCTAAGTCACTCAGCAAAGTGCCCTCTTCCATTCCGTTCTATTTGTTAAAGTCCGATACAAGGGTTCGCATAACCTGGCATGGACATCGATAATGGTGACCACTTAATGAACAACCAAGTAACCAAGGCGCCTTTGCAACTAGTCTCCTTTGTCGGGGCATTCATAGTCAATGAAAAGAGGCCAATTTCTGAATTTTCCGGACCTTAAAAGAAGGCGAAGAAAGGTTCTTGAAAGAGAACGCCTGGCACACCAACTACTGGATTAGGCGGCAAGTTCAGGGAACACCTGAATTGGAGCGTAGGCCCATCACTTTCTTACCAAAGAACATCAAACAGTTTTCTTCACGCCTGGGAAATCTTTGAGATGTTTTGCACTGTGTCGTGACCCCTTCCTTGCCTAGTCCACAGGACCCCCAGCGGCCACCCCGCAGCTCCGCATCAGCAGCACCTTCTCCCTGGCCGGCCCGGCCGGCGATGCGGGGCAGGCGGAGCAGGCTTGGCGGCAGACGCGCAGCAGGAAGGCGAGGCTGGACTCCAAGCTCGGGGAGTCCGGGAACAAGTCTCGGGACAAGGCGGCCCCGCGGAAGCACCGAGCAGGCAACTCCAAGGCGAGGCGACACGTGTGTCAAGTGTGCGGCAGGGACTGCCATCACGCTTCACATCTGGAGATTCACGCGAGGAAGCACACCGGAGAGAAACCGTTCGAGTGTGATGTGTGCCGGAAGAAGTTTTCCATGAAACATAGTCTTGAGTGGCACATGAGGATCCACAACGGGGAGAAGCCGTACAAATGCAAAGTGTGCGGGAAGAAGTTTGCTGTGAAGGGTAATCGTGATGTGCACTCGAGGGTTCACACTGGAGAGAAGCCGTATGGGTGCGACGTTTGTGGGAAGAAATTCACTCGAAAGGGTAGATGTGATTTGCACAGGAGGCTTCACACTGGGGAAAAGCCTTAGTTTTCTACGGAGAACTGTCAATTATGTGCCGTGGTCCAGTGCCCACGCGCTCATTCGTGTGCGATGCAAGGATTTGATTCGTTCGGTTTTCTGTCTTCGTGTGGGAGGGCCGACGCAATGTGCCTACGCACACTTTGGACAGTTAAGGACAGGTTTTTTCGCGCCTCTTAAATTTGTCTCGTTATCATCTGCTATATATCTTGCCTAGTTATTGCCCATTTTTGGCCCGCCCTTCTATTCAAAAAATAGGGGGAGGGCCTATGCATTTGCCTTTGTGTCTGTGTGTTGTTGTTGTTGGCGTCTGTGTACAAGGAAGGAGTTGAGCTAGAGTAACCAGATTTGGAGGGTACTTCAGGAGTACCGTCCAAACAAATAATCCGGTGGTGCAAATCCCGTCCGGGTCGCACAAGGGCTGCTGCAGGTGCATCATGGTTTACATGAGCGGGAGGGGGATTTCCGCCATTATTGGTGCTAGCAGGGCACACTGTCAGAAATGTTGTCGTAAATTAGCGACAAAAACGTCGCTAATTTTGATAGCGACAGAAATCGTTCTGAAACTACTTCGTCGTAACTGAACGACTAAAAAATCATTTCTCTACGACAATGTCGTAATCGCGATTACATATTTTAAAATCTGATATTCCCGAAAAGTAGATGAAAAGTTGGAATTTTGCTCGCTTATTTACGATTTGTGTCGTTCATTTACGACTCATTACACAAATTTACGAAAAGATTCGTTAATGTACGACTTAAGTCATAACTGCACGACATATTCCATAGATAAATTACGATCGTTCGTAAACTTACGATTAAGTTGTAAATTTACGACTAAATTCGTTTCAAAACGGAACGTCTCCCTATCAAAATTAGCGACAAATGTGTCGTAAATTTACGACTCAAGTCGTAAATTTACGACTCAAGTCGTAAATTTACGACTCAAGTCGTTTATTAACGACTTAAGTCGTAACAAAATATTTCTTTTAAAAACGACCTAATTGTTTTACAAAATATCGTAAATTTACGATTATTTTTAACAGTGCACATAGGGGTATTTTTGGAATCGGGGCGACGAGACAAGATGAATGGACCTGGTCCCGACCCCATCGGCCGCTTTTACAAGTTGGCCAGATCAGGATCTTCGAAAAAGGGGGTCGACCGACTAAAAAAATTTATTGCAGATTTCGGTTGGTCTCAGCAAGACCTTTTCAACGAGGGGTCGGAAAGGGGGTCCAGGAGCCCGACTTCGTCTATTAGTCACATCAGGATCTTGAAAAAAGGGGGTCGACCGACTGAAAATTTTTACTTAAGTTTTGGATAGGTCTTGGCAAGACCTCTTGAACGAGGGGTCGGAAGGGGGGTCCAGGAGCCCGCCTTCATGAGTTATGGGAAAAAGTGCGACGGACTCGTTTTGCGCTCCTGCTGGGCCTCTATTGCAAGGAGTTGCAGTAGCATGGCAAATACGGGTATTTTCGGAATGAGGGCGAAGAGACAAATGAAATGGGCATATTCTTAGGACAGTTGGAGTAAAAAGTGTAAGGACTATTGCATATTGTGAATAGAAGGGCGGGCCTAAGTCACGATGGTACATCGATAACTTTGCTTTACCCGCTCACGGTGTGTGTGATGCGAGCGGGCCGAAGGCCCGGGCCTTCGACTGGCCAAGTTGGGTCTGATGCGAGGGCCGAAGGCCCGAGAAAGGCCGCCGGCAGGCCAAGCTGGGCCGGCCCCCTGTCGAACCGAGCTGCCGGCGCAGCGAAGCGGAGCTGGCAACTCGGTTCGACGGAAGGGCGGGCCCTAGCTTGTTGTCTTACACTGTTGTAACATTGCGAAAGGTTCTTTATGTGGCAGTGGCAGTTTTTCTTAATTCCTTCATTTGTCATGTTTGTTGTGGCCACCACAAGCTTTCACTGTTAAAAAAAATCTTAAAATTCAGACCAATTTTGTAAGACCTGGTGGTCTGATTTCTGAATTAAGACCAGAAGTATTCTAAAGAAGAATCCTCGGATGAATTTTAAGACTTTCGCAGTCTTAAAAGCAAATTCAGACCATCCAGACAAAAAGTCTGACAGGGGTGACTGAAAATTCAGACGAAGTACAAGACCATGTAGTCTGAATCGCCTTTTCAGACTATTCTCCTGAAAAGGAAGACCGATTGATCTTAAATTTCAAACTGGTTGTGTATTTTCAGACCATGGGTCTGAAACGGGAGACGTATTGGTCTTAAATGTCAGACTGGTTGCCTCACTTGACCAAATTTAACCGCAATATTTGAGCGCTCGATACAGAATCTTAAATATTCACGAACAGCCCAAATTGTCCGCAGTTTAACTCCCGCAACACGCGGTTTGTTTGTTTATTTGCGGCCTCCCAGCGTCCAGCGAGCGCGCTTGGAGTCATCGGCATCCTGCAGCCGTGCTCTCAGAGCGGTCCCGTGGTGTAATGGATAACCCGCAAAGCCGACGAGCGAGGATTTGATGGTTCGAATACCGAGATATTCGGAGTTTCCGAGTAAAGAGAACGGCCGATAAGTTACGCGCAAGTTCTATCAAAGACTTCTCTCGCAATTGAGTGAAGATTCAACGTTACAATTTTTTGTTTTTGTCTGAATTTTCTTCAGACTGGCCGTGTCTAATAATTCAGACCACCTAAATCTTAATTTTCAGACCACCCAATTCTAAACTTTGAGACCACCCTATTCTAAATTTTCAGACCGCCGAAATGGTCTGAAATTTCAGAACCCCTTACTGCTAATTAACTTCAGTCAAATTTTGTCTGAAATTTCAGAATTTTTTTTTTTACAGTGTTGTTATTGAATAAATATTATCTTTCCCTTTCCATTGTCAAAATTATTTCCGGACCTGTAACTATAAAAAAAAGTGTCAAATGAAACTGTTGAAAGCCACTGGTGCGCACATCTTTTCTTGTAAAATGGGCCTCTTTATAGCAAGGCAGAGGTCAAGGAAGGCGAGTGTGTCTTTCGCCATCCCGGTGCTTTGCGTCTCTTTTTCTAGTTCACTTTTTGTTTCGGGCCCAGACCACTGTGAAGCAGGATGCTTCAGTTTTGCACGGCTGCCTCTGCTTCTTCTGAGAATCGACGCATGCTTCATTCAGTCCGTTTAGAAGTTTTTATTATGACGAGATTCTGGGTGGCGGTAGTTGGTACTTTCTTGCATTCCTGTCATGCATGGTGGGTCGGTCCAGGTGGTGGTCCGTGGTGCTTGTGGCGTGCTCCTTGCACGAGGTTCCGACACCACAGCCCGCGTGTTAAGGGATCCTTAACTGTGGCCGTCGTGTCCGAGGACCAGTGTCTTGCCAGTTTGGCTCCACTAACGCTGTGTTGCTTGCAGGTTCCGCGAAGGCAGAGAAGTTGGAGGGCCCAGAAGGACAGCACTGCGAAGAGGACGCGGACGGAAGCTGCCACGCCGAAGGTGAGTCTGGAGTCAGTCTGGTGACGAGACAGTGCTGGCTACAGTTTTGTGATTGCAGATCTTGGGCATTTAATTTGTGATGGGTTTTGTGGTAAGACTCTTAAAAGGTTTTTGGTAGCAAAACAATTAAAGTGGTTTTAGCTGTTTGAGTGGCAGTATACAGTGAGAACATCATTGTCACGCCATAAGGACACCTGGAAAAGTCAGGAATACACTGTGCTTTCACTGTCATCCCACTTGCCGTGCAGAACCCAACACGAATTTCATCGCACTTTTCTGTGATGATCCTTGCAAAACGGTGTAATGAGCTGCTGCATCGCACAATTTTGAAATTACCATGACAACAATCTGCAATGGGTAATATGAATTGCAGATTTTGTGTTGTCATCATCGCAGTTTTATGCAACAATTTCTGCCTTTCATGCGATGATCAATGCAGGATTATGTGATTCTAAAGGCATTGCATTTGGGGAGCAATGATGAGTGGGAATCACTTTTTTGATTGCATTCCACATGCGTTGAAAGTATCGCAACTTCGGTAACAGGCACTGTGGTAAACTCATAATCCACACTGAAGGAATCCGTTGCCTGGTTCACAGGACCCCCAGCGGCCACCCCGCAGCTCCGCATCAGCAGCACCTTCTCCCTGGCCGGCCCGGCCGGCGATGCGGGGCAGGCGGAGCAGGCTTGGCGGCAGACGCGCAGCAGGAAGGCGAGGCTGGACTCCAAGCTCGGGGAGTCCGGGAACAAGTCTCGGGACAAGGCGGCCCCGCGGAAGCACCGAGCAGGCAACTCCAAGGCGGGGCGACACGTGTGCCAAGTGTGCGGCAAGGACTGGCCATCAGCGTCGCACCTGGAGATTCATGCGAGGAAGCACACCGGAGAGAAACCGTTCGAGTGTGATGTGTGCGGGAAGAAGTTTTCTACGAAACAAAGTCTTGAGTGGCACATGAGGATCCACAACGGGGAGAAGCCGTACAAATGCAAAGTGTGCGGGAAGAAGTTCACTCAGAAGGGTCGTCGTGATTTGCACTGGAGGCTTCACACTGGAGAGAAGCCTTAGTGTGTACGGAGAAGTGTCAATTGTGTGTCGTTGTAGAATGCCCACGCGCTCATTCATGTGTGTTGCAAGGATTTGATTTGTTCGGTTTTCTGTCTTCGTGCGGTAGGATGGACGCAATGTGCCCGCGGTCTCTTGGAACAATTAGGGATAGGTTTTTTTGCGCCTCTAAAATTAAATCATTTACAATTTAACTGCTATCTTTCTTGCCTAGTGGCTTCTCTTTTCTGTGTTACGATGGTGTAACGGTTGTGAAACTTTCCACATGTTGCAGTGAAATGTTTTTTCTTCATTCGTGATGTTTCTTGTGACAATAAAGGGGTTTGGTATTGAATAAATACTTCCTTTCCCTTTCCTTTGACAAAATTGTTTCCGAACATGTAACCTCTTGAAGAGCGACAAATGAAACTGTTGAAAGCAACGAAGGGTACGCACTTCTATTCTTATTTAAAACGTGTCTCTTCACGGCAAAGCAGAGGTCAAGGAAGGGGAGTGCGTGTCTGCTGCCATCGCGGTTCTTTTCGTCCCTTTTCTAATTCACCTTTTGTTTCAGGCCCAGACCACTGTGAAGCAGGATGCTTCAGTTTTGCATGGCTGCCTCTGATTCTTCTGAAAATCTTTTCTTGCTTCATTCAATCCGATTGGAAGCTTTTATTTTGACGAGGTTGTGGGTGGCGGTAGTTGGTACTTTCTTGCATTCCTGTCATGCATGGCGGGTCGGTGGGTCGGTCCAGGTGCTGGTCCGTGGTGCTTTGGCGTGCTCCTTGCACGAGGTTCCCTGGCGGACGGTGGTTCCGCCCTGCACCCGCCAACCACATTGGCCTCCGACACAACAGCCCGCGTGTTAAGGGATCCTTAACTGTGGCCGTCGTGCCCGAGGACCGGTGCCTTGCCCGTTTGGCTCCACTAACGCTGTGTTGCTTGCAGGTTCCGCGAAGGCAGAGAAGTTGGAGGGCCCAGAAGGACAGCACTGCGAAGAGGACGCGGACGGAAGCTGCCACGCCGAAGGTGAGTCTGGAGCCAATGTGGCAACGAGGCGCACGGTAAGGACGGTACCTGGTTTTCTCTGGAAGCCTATGGTAGAGACATGGGCGATTTCCAGGGAGTTCTTGGCAAAACCAGGAACCGTTTTTACCGTGCGGGCCGTACTGTGAGCGGAGTGGCACTATTATCCAAGTTGCGATTCTTTGAACAGAAAAACGTGTGATATCGAAAGTATAATTCCCACGAATCATTGCTCTTAAGATGCAATGACTTTCATATCGCTTAATTTTGCAATGATTCTCGCCCATTGCTGCAATGAAAATCGAAATAATTGAAAACAACTGAGAAGATGACAACTCAAAATCTGCGATAATTGCAGATTTTTGCAATGATCATTGAAAAACTCTTCGATTCAGCAGCCCATTACACCTTCTTGCAATGGTCTTCACCAAAAAGTGCCATGAAATTATCATTGCGCTGAATGCGCGGTCTGTGTCACAAGTGGAATAACAGTGAAGTCAGGCAGACAGTGTTTATGTGCGCAAGCGTTCTTGAAGCCGCTCTTCTGTTTTAGGCTCGTATTTTCGGTTCCCATTTCCATGGTCCTTTCACATCTTTCGATCGTTTTCTCTTTGAGAAGGGACGTGACTGTGACCGGCCACCTCCGAAAGGAGCATGAAACGCAACAGACTTGTTTAAGGACCTAATGATGTTCGTCGTAAAAACACGCGTTCTTGGATCAGCATGACTCAGTAAAATTTGTTGCCGTTTGTCGAATTCTGACGTCAGCAAACGCCTTTGTCGAGTCTGATCGAAATATTTTTAATTGCTTACAGATAGAGCCAACAAACGTTCTGCAGTCCGGTTCAGGAAATTCTCGTTGCATTTTGTACTATCGCCGTTTTAACTTTTTTCTCAGCCTTTGTTTTGCTTTTGTTGTATAATTGCAGTGGAACATGCGAGACTTCGACAGCAAACTTTTGCAATAAAAACGTATTTTCGATTCGCACATCCTTTCGCACCTAATCGCACCCTCAAGTGCAATAATTCTGTTATTCCATAATTTTGCAATTAATGTGTGCGATGTAACACCCTTTTCACTCTCATTCTAGGAACATGACATCACGTTCGTATCAATGAAACATATGCCTGATTCACATTGAAACGATTGTGACACAATGCTCAAACGAAATTGGCATTTTGTTTCATTTGTTTGAACGTTATGTCACGTTCTTTGAAAGAGAGTTTTGCCATACTTTATTCGCTTCTTGTTCCGTTTTTGGCCCGCCCTTTTATTCAAAAAATAGGGGGGGAGCCTATGCATTTGCCTTTGTGTCTGTGTGTTGTTGTCGTTGTTGTCGTTGTCGTTGTTGTTGGCGTCTGTGTACAAGGAAGGAGTTGAGCTAGAGTAACCAGATTTGAAGGGTACTTCAGGAGTACCGTAAATGCGGGTAAAATGGACCACCAGTGGGTAATGTGGACCACCCCTGAAATTCTTTTAAATGATCGATTCGAGCCAAGTAACTTTCAAGTTCGGATGCTAGCAGCCGAAACGGTTTTCCATGCCACAGGTAGGCGGCATCACCGATCACATAGAAGAGTTTAAGGGGTGGTCCACATTACCCACTGGTGGTCCATATTACCCGCTTTCACGGTCCAAACAAATAATCCGGTGGTGCAAATCCCGTCCGGGTCGCACAAGGGCTGCTGCAGGTGCATCATGGTTTACATGAGCGGGAGGGGGATTTCCGCCATTATTGGTGCTAGCAGGGCACATAGGGGTATTTTTAGAATCGGGGCGACGAGACAAGATGAATGGACCTGGTCCCGACCCCATCGGCCGCTTTTACAAGTTGGCCAGATCAGGATCTTCAAAAAAGAGGGTCGACCGACTAAAAAAAATTTATTGCAGATTTCGATTGGTCTCAGCAAGACCTTTTCAACGAGGGGTCGGAAAGGGGGTCCAGGAGCCCGACTTCGTCTATTAGTCACATCAGGATCTTGAAAAGAGGGAGTCGACCGACTGAAAATTTTTACTTAAGTTTTCGATAGGTCTTGGCAAGACCTCTTCAACGAGGGGTCGGAAGGGGGGTCCAGGAGCCCGCCTTCATGAGTTATGGGAAAAAGTGCGACGGACTCGTTTTGCGCTCCTTCTGGGCCTCTATTGAAGGAGTTGCAGTAGCATGGCAAATATGGGTATTTTCGGAATGACGGCTAAGAGACAAATGAAATGGGCATATTCTTAGGACAGTTGGAGTAAAAAGTGTAAGGTTGCATATTGTGAATAGAAGGGCGGGCCTAAGTCGCGATGGTACATCGATAACTTTGCTTTACCCGCTCACGGGGTGTGTAATGCGAGCGGGCCGAAGGCCCGGGCCTTCGACTGGCCAAGTTGGATCTGATGCGAGGGCCGAAGGCCCGAGGAAAGGCCGCCGGCAGGCCAAGCTCCGCTTCGCTGCGCCGGCAACTCGGTTCGACAGGGGGCCGGCCCTAGCTTGTTGTTGCAGATTATTGCCAAATATTGGGAAAATTGTTTTGATACCAAAATACTGACAGTGCTTATTGCAGTTTGAATGACTGTGTACCCATCACAGTAATTTGCCGTGTTCACAGGACCCCCAGCGGCCACCCCGCAGCTCCGCATCAGCAGCACCTTCTCCCTGGCCGGCCCGGCCGGCGATGCGGGGCAGGCGGAGCAGGCTTGGCGGCAGACGCGCAGCAGGAAGGCGAGGCTGGACTCCAAGCTCGGGGAGTCCGGGAACAAGTCTCGGGACAAGGCGGCCCCGCGGAAGCACCGAGCAGGCAACTCCAAGGCGGGGCGACACCATGAGAGAAGGGCGCCCTGGAGTCCCAGCTTACTCGCGGCCGGACGCCGCCCGGCCGTGGTTTACACCACTTTGACGCTAAACGGCTCATCGCACCAAATTTTCGAGGGTACCAGCGGATTCGGGAAGGTTTTTTACGTGCCCCCCCGTTTTTCTTTTTTCGATTCGGTGACATGAGGTACTCACGAAATCGGGTTGAAGGGGCATGAAGTGGCGCGGACGAGGCTCCGCAGCGGCTGGCTGCCTGACGGCTGGCCGGCGGGCGGGCGCTGGCTGCCAGCCCTGGCTGCCGGCAGCCACTGCGCATGCGCGGCGCCGCGCTACTTTTCCCTCGCGTCGGGGAAAAAGAGAAAAGTCTCCCCCTCAGGCGGCAACAGGCTATGAGTGTATCAGCAATGGGCGCGAATTATTAGGCCATTAGCGACAATGTTCATTAATGATGCAGAGCGAAACGAAATCGCCAAACCAGCTTCTCGAAGGGCTAGGCCCAAGCCTACGTCCCGGCGAAGGCGCCTTAAGCATAAAAAGGGAGCTAGACGAACTTCAATCAAGTCCAGTGACACTAGTGGCGTTGATGAGGTGAGGTTAATTTTTACTTTAAAAAAAATTTTCTGTTGGCAGTTTACGAATGTTAACATTTCTTTATTATTTTTTGAAGGCTGAGAAAACATCCTCGTCTTGCTCATCCTCCTCATGCAGTAACTCAATAGAATCTGGTCACCCTCACATTGATTTAAGTTCTGACTTGAAGGGGACTTTTTCGGCTCCATTGACACCTATAGAGGTAGATACTTAGAACCTTTTGTCATCCTGCTTTGTAATAATGGTTGTCCTTTAATCATTTTATATTTGTTTCAAGGCTGAGCAACAATCTGATGGGAAACAAAAAGTGGCCTTCACAGTAAATTATGATGTCAGTGGTATGGATGCTGATCGTACAGATAAAATTCCACCGTCACCTCAGGTAAATATTTTGAAACTTTGGTGTGAATACTTTGCTAAAATGGTTGCCATGTTATCATGTTATTTTTATTTATAGACTGACCAAGAATCTGATGGGAAACAACAAGCAACATTCACAGTGGATCCTGATAACAGTGGAGCGGACGCTGACAATTCAAACAGTATTCCATCATCACCTGCGCAGGTAATTATTTACAAACTTGTGTGAATGTGCTTGGCAATTGTTGATAAATCATTTGTTATTGTGGTTTTTTTTATTTGCAGAAAGTTGATCAGCAAGATGTTCCCAATGCTCCTGCCAGTAATGTGTTGGACTTACTTCTTGAACTGAAGAAGAAAGTGGATCTATTCTTACCAAAGCGGTGGATGTCTATTGTTGATGGCAAAGCTCTTCACGTCGTGTATTATTCCAATCAGAAATGCTTCATCATTCAAAGAAGTTTAGTGGTCTCCCCTGATGGTAGTGTTGAACTGTTTGTGCATCATGACCCTGTTGACATTGAGCCCTTTGTCAAGGGCCTAACCCCACCCAAACCACTGGATGAAGACACAATCAGTAGTACAGCAGACAGAATAATATCTATAGTGAATGCAGTGTGGAAGATGCAAGTGTGCAGTGGTTATGACGAAGAAAGGTTTCAGGTTGCTTGGGCTTCTTGCAGTGGTGGAGTAGTTGATCGAAACCCATTCCATGAGTGTAGATATGTGGAAACTTTTCGTTCTTCGTCCTGTACTAAACTAGTTTCAGGGCGTAAGTGGCGGTGCTTCAATTGTGCTAAACTATATTTCCCTTTGCGAAGAATAGCTTCAGCAGAAGCTGAGAAGGAACGCCATGCCAACACTGCAAACATTCATCTGACTGAACGACAGCTACTTGAGAAGCTTGCAAAACAACGAACTGAATTGAATAATGCCAAGAAAACAATCTACAGACTACAGGCCAGGATGCAGGAACTCATAGAGCAACAAAGTGTTTTAATTGATCATTCTTTGGCAGCTGATTTGGAAGAAATTTTAAACAACGCCACACTAACTCCAGCCCAATCAATATTTTTGCAACAACAAATAAAGGCATCTCAAGTGAAAAATGCCTGTGGGATGCGTTGGCATCCAACAATGATTCGGTTTGCCTTATCAATTCACCTCACTTCACCGGCTGCTTATGAAATGATGCGCCAGACAGGCATGATAAAATTACCATCAAGTTCAACCTTATTTGAGTATTCTCATGTGAAGCCTGCTGAAGAGGGCATTGACAAAGAGGCCCTGCATTCAATTGCACAAAAAGTTCAAAAGTTTCCTGAAAAGCATAAAAAATACCATGTGTTAATGGCTGATGAAATACATATCTCACAAAATTTAGTATTTCAAAAGTCAACAGGGCGTATGATTGGGTACACATCCCTTGATGATGTTGACAATGAAGTTAAAAATTTAGAAAAAAGTATTGATGACCCTGACAAAGAATTAGAGGAAACTGTGGCTACCAAGATACTAGTTTATATGGTGAAAGGTGTTACCAATGGCGTCAAGGAAGTGGTTGCTTCCTTCACAACCAAAGATTTATCTGCAAATCAAATGTATGTATGGACTTGGAAAGTGATTGGAGCATTAGAGCGCAGTGGCATTGCTGTGATTGCCTTTGTCAGTGACGGCTCATCAGTGAATCGAGCATTCATCAAGAAGCACAAACCTGCAACGATTCATAAAAGTGGGCTCACCTTTGATACCTGGAACAAAGCGGCAAGAGGACGGAAGCTTTATTTTATTGCAGACGTTCCACATCTCTTGAAGACTATAAGAAATTGCATTTTGAATTCCAGATGGGACGGCAAGAAAAGCAGAAGAAAAATGATGAAAAATGGGAAGAAAATTACTTGGGACTTCATCATAAAACTGTACGAGGAGAAAAAAGTTAAAAGTCTTCGAAAGTCCTTCAAACTTAATGCAATGAACGTTTATCCGGACAGTTACGCTCGCATGAAAGTTAAGTTAGCTGGTCAACCACTGAGCAAAACTGTGTGTCAAGACATGCGCAGTCAGGGCTGGGCTGAAGCTTCTGAAACTGAAAACTTCATTGAAGCTGTGAATGATTGGTTTGACTGCCTTAATGGTGCCCACTCATCACAAGGAACTAAAACTAGAAATCCCAATCTTGCACCATACACTAAGGACAACCATCTGGACCGCTTTGAGTTGGTTGATAATTTTCTGAAGTATTTGGACGAATGGGAAGAGGAAGCAAGAAATCCAAATGTTACCCTCAATGTCACCATGGACAACACCGCTGCTGCACCTGCTGACTTGGATGAGAGTGAAATTGAAGATGGCACCTTCAATCCTGATGCGGACACCCCAGCCAGCAAGAAACTTCTCAGCGCGCAGACTCTGGAGGGAATTAGAATTACTAGCTTGGCTTTTAAGCCTTTAGTTTTGTTCATGCTAGACCAAGGGGCATCTTTTATCAACGCTAGGGTTTTTTGTCAAGATCCCCTGGAACAACATTTCAGTAAAGTAAGGGCTGGCCAAGGTGGAAGTAATAATCCCAATGTTATGCAATTTCTTAACAGAAACCGTGCCCTGCATACAATTGGTGAGCTTGGTATGAGAAAGCGTAGAGGTAATTCAGGTGAATGTGGAAGCCATGTTGAAGTTACTACTGCTAAAATGCCTAAGTTACAATGGAGAAGAGTCCCTAAATTGACTGATGAGTCATAAGTGAATGTTAGTTGAATTAGCTTGGTTGCCTTCCTTTGTTTGTGCTTCCCAGTCATGAAGTTTTCTTTGGTTTTTAAAAATAATAATTTGTATTTTATTTTAAAAACTAGTGTTAAATACTTGTCTGTGATGTATATTCTAGTTTAAGTGTTTGTTGTGCTTGAATGAGACATCAGATAAAAATGAATGTCAATACTGAGAAATAAAGGAACAAGATTTTTTAAGACTGTGTGATGATTGCTACACCAATTTTTATTATAAACTAAACATCTCTTTCAACATAGATACACTAAAACAAAATCTATGTTTCAATAAATATCAAATTAACAAACTTGAAAAATTATTACAAACTTGTTGCAATTAAAGGTAATGGTGAAACAATTAAGAAAGTCAAAAAATAAAATAATCACAAACCGAGGGCAAGCCTCAGAGTATTCAAATAAAAATATTTGTTTAACAAAACAAAACGAGCATAAAGTGATGAAATCTGGCATTAAAAGTATTCTGACTAGCGATTCTTTCGACTAGCAACAAGGTGTCTAGTTGTCAAGGAAACCATTGGCTTGCTACGAAGTGAATTAAGCCTTCTCTTGGCAAAGCCACGTCCACAAGTCTTGCAGAGACACAATATAACATCATTCATTAAATTCAGGGATACAAGCTCAGGCAATGAGTCTGAAATAATGTTATCCCATAGCATACAAATAGAAGAATTAGTAACTGCTCTCACAACCTCCATGTAGTCAATTGAACCATTACTTTTTTCTTTTTCATACACAACTTTGGTAACTTGAACAAAAAAAGTTTGGCTTACCTCATTAACATACAACAATACTCCTCTGTCAACGTCCATTGTCCACTCTGAGTCTATGAGATCCCCCGTGAATTTATCAACTAACACTTTTGTTTTGATCACATATGCAACACTCTGCCAAGTAGTACTCTTCTGAGCCCGCCTTGCAATTTTAAGGTAGCCCCTCATTATGGATCCTGCAATGTAATAGATCACTTGCCTTTCTTCCTTATCTGGTTCTTTGGTAGCTTGGCGAGGCCTCCTTGGTATATTTTCACGGAAAGTTTTAGAGATGAACTTCAGAACTTCAGTCATAAAATTAAGGGTAAATTCTAACATAAACTGAGAAATAGTATCACAATTGAAATCTTTGGGAAGGTTCAATACACACAACAGATTATCACTAAGTTCATAATCTGATAAAAGTCTGTCAACTTGGTCAATAAGATTTGTTGCTAATGCAGATGGAAGAAGGAATTTTTTGGTAGCAATCCCACTGATGAGCTCTTGACACATCATGTTGCAGAACTTAGACCATTCTGGTCCCATGGAAATACCAGCAATATGGCCTACTAACTCCTTAAACATCTGTCCAGTTTCTCCTTCACTGGGGCTATTCGCAACATGAGTCGAGGCTGCGTTTCCTATTTCCAGAGAAAAATCAAGAATTTTTTGGGCGTCAGGAAAACGAGCAGAGGCCTCTGAAAAAAAATACAAAAATCAAAAGGGATAAATGAAGCCATGGGCATAGTCACAAAAGAAGTCACCAAACAGAAAGGCACGATCAATTTTACCTTGCATTGAATGAGCTCTAAGATGATTTTTGAAGGAACGACTGCAAACATATGCTTTGAGGCAGTAAGTGCAAATCAATTGAGGCTTTATTGATGGTTTCTTCTTGGTTGTTTTTTTGGGTGGGTTTCTGGGCACTTGGAATACACCACTCTGATTGCATTGGTCTTGAGCAATGAGATTCACTGAAATGTCATGTGTATCTATGTGCACTGCCAAGCTGACATTTAAATCAGCGGGTGGCGCTGTAAACACAAAAATGAAGGTAAAAAATCTTTTCAAAATGTGAGCAATAAGCACAACTCTTCCATAATTATCGAAGAATTAAATCAGCACACAGAGAAACATAACCTCCACACTGCTTACCTTGTTTCTCGTGAATGTCCCTTATATGCTTCAAAAAATAGAAATTTGAAACGTAGCTCTTAGAGCAATGAGGGCAGACAAATTTCGGGGCCGCTTTTTTGCTTGGAGTAGAACTAATGACTGCATTTAAAGGCAAGTCTTTGAATGGGTCATTGTCGTTTTCATCGCGTGAAGACGAATCCATTCTGAACAAAAATATTAAGAATTAGTTCAATTCTAGAACTCAATCAAGCATCGAGATGGGTGATGAATTACATTCCACTCACCTAAAAGCTTACTTAACCTCTTCCAATTATATTTTTGAGTGTGAAACACGCTTTGTTCGTCGTCACATTTTGGAAGTAAACACTAACAGTGGCCTGGCATCCCCCGGAGACTTTTCTCTTTTTCCCCGACGCGAGGGAAAAGTAGCGCGGCGCCGCGCATGCGCAGTGGCTGCCGGCAGCCAGGGCTGGCAGCCAGCGCCCGCCCGCCGGCCAGCCGTCAGGCAGCCAGCCGCTGCGGAGCCTCGTCCGCGCCACTTCATGCCCCTTCAACCCGATTTCGTGAGTACCTCATGTCACCGAATCGAAAAAAGAAAAACGGGGGGGCACGTAAAAAACCTTCCCGAATCCGCTGGTACCCTCGAAAATTTGGTGCGATGAGCCGTTTAGCGTCAAAGTGGTGTAAACCACGGCCGGGCGGCGTCCGGCCGCGAGTAAGCTGGGACTCCAGGGCGCCCTTCTCTCATGGCGACACGTGTGCCAAGTGTGCGGCAAGGACTGGCTATCAGCCACTGACCTGGAGAGACACGCGAGGAAGCACACCGGAGAGAAACCGTACGAGTGTGATGTGTGCGGGAAAAACTTTTCTATGAAACAAACTCTTGATAGGCACATGAGGATCCACAATGGGGAGAAGCCCTACAAGTGCAACGTATGTGCAAGAGGAAGTTCGCTGTGAAGAGTTATCTTGTTGTGCACATGAGGGTTCACACTGGAGAGAAGCCGTACGAGTGCGACGTGTGCAAGAAAAAGTTCACTCAGAAGGGTGATCTTGATAGGCACATGAGAGTTCATTCTGGGGAGAAACCCTACGAGTGCGACGTGTGTGGGATTAAGTTCTCTCGGAAGGATCGTCGTGATTTGCACAAAAGGCTTCACACTGGAGAGAAGCCATTATTGGAAACGGAGAAGTGTCAATGAGGTGTCGTTGTTCAATGCCCACGCGCTCATTCATGTGTGTTGCAAGGATTTGATGTGTTCGGTTTTCTGTCCTCGTGTGGGAGGGCCGACGCCATGTGCCTGCGCACACTTGTCACAGTCAGGCTAGGTTTTTCTGCGCCTCTAAAATTTGTTTCCTTACTATTCAACCGCTCTATCCCTTGCCTAGTTATTGCCTTGTTTTGTATTACACTGTTGTAACCTCTGCGAAAGGTTCTTTATGTGGCAGTGCATTGTTTGTTTTATTTCATTTGTCATTTTTATTCTGGCCATCAAAAGCTTTGTTATTGAATAAATATTTCATTTTCTTTTCCATTGACAAAGTTGTTTCCATACATTTAACTATATTAAGAGTGACAAATGAAACTGTTAAAGGTTCACTGTGAAAACTTGAGTCGTTACTTGGTGCCTTATAAGGATGTCATCACACTAATTGATGACTTTTTTCTCATGCCATGCATTAAGAATCGGAGCTTCGATGAAAATGTCGTCAATTTGTGATGAGATTGTGATCATTTGAAAGTTATGAAAATATCATCGACGCTTTTGTCAAAATGACAACAATTTTTTTTAGTGTAAGAGTGCGCACATCTATTCTTGTAAAATATGTCTCTAAATAGTAAAACAGAGGTAAAGGAAGGCGAGTGCGTGTCTGCCGCCATCGCGGGGGTTTGCGCCACTTTTTCTAATTCGCTTTTTGTTTCAGGCCCAGACCACAGTGAAGCAGGATGCTGCAGTTTGGCATGGCTGCCTCTGTTTCTTATGAGAATCTGCGCATGCTTAATTCAGTCCGATTGGAAGTTTTTATTTTGACGAGGTTCTGGGTGGCGGTAGTTGGTACTTTCTTGCATTCCTGTCATGCATGGTGGGTCGGTGGGTCGGTCCAGGTGGAGGTCCGTGGTGCTTGTGGCGTGCTCCTTGCACGAGTTTCCCTGGCGGACGGTGGTTCCGCCCTGCACCCGCCAAACACATTGGCCTCCGACACAACAGCCCGCGTGTTAAGGGATCCTTAACTGTGGCCGTCGTGCCCGAGGACCGGTGCCTTGCCCGTGTGGCTCCACTAACGCTGTGTTGCTTGCAGGTTCCGTGAAGGCTGAGGAAACGGAGGACCTTGAAGGACAGGACAATGGAGAGGACGCGAATGGCGGTTTCGCAGGCGAAGGTGAGTGCGTCTGGAGCCAATGACGATGCTCCTTTTTCAAGGGATCTTATCTGGGCGTCCCCCAAGACAAACCATATCTTAAACGCAGGCGAATTTCACTCAGTTTGACCATTTGGGACGGGTACGAGAGTAAGCGGAATATGCTACATGCACTTTTGGTTCATTTGATCTCACATTTCAGCGAGGGGGTAAACACTCGTGTAATCCCATGTACACAAAAACCGTATATAACGCGTAATACACCTAACTGTAATATCATTTTGAGGCAAAATGTGCCACATTTTGGCATTTTAATGCCGTAAGACACGTGTAATATCCCCCTAATACAGCGTACAGTACTCTGTACACGATCTCATGGAGTGTTAACCCCCTCGCATTTCAGTGAATTAAGTAACCAATTACACTGTTAAAAATAATCGTAAATTTACGACATTTTGTAAAACAATTATGTCGTTTTTAAACGACATATTTTATTACGACTCAAGTCGTAAATATACTACTTGAGTCGTAAATTTACGACATATTTGTCGCTAATTTTGATAGCGAGACGTTCCGTTTTGAAACGAATGAAGTCGTAAATTTACAACTTAATCGTAAGTTTACGAACGGTCGTAATTTATCTTTGGAATATGTTGTGCAGTTATGACTTCAGTCGTACATTTACGAATCTTGTCGTAAATTTGTGCAATGAATCGTAAATGAACGACACAAATCGTAAATAAGCGAGCAAAATTGCAACTTTTCATCAACTTTTCGGGGCTTTCAGATTTCAAAATATGTAATCGCGAATTCGACATTGTCGTAGAGAAACGATTTTTTAGTCGTTCAGTTACGACGAAGTAGTTTCTGCACGATTTCTGTCGCTATCAAAATTAGCGAAGTTTTTGTCGCTAATTTACGACAAAATTTCTGACAGTGTATGTTTGTTTGTAGCTGTATCAAATGGTGAAACTAGGTCAAATTCGTCTGTGCAGGGCTCTAAGTCACTCAGCAATGTTCTATTTGCTAAAGTCTGCACTGTGGCAAAAAAGTACGGAAAATCCTGTTAATTTTTTTGCCAGGATTCTCCGTAGCCCTCTTATCAATATTCTCCGTAGGCTCTTACAGTATTCTCCGTAGGACCGCACAGTATTCTCTGTAAATCCGCACAGTCTTCTCCGTAGGACCTCGAAGACTGTATAGTCCTACGGAGATCACTGTGCGGTCCTACGGAGAATACTGTGCGGTCCTACAGAAAATACTGTAAGAGCCTACGGAGAATATTGATAAGGGGCCTTCGGAGAATTACCACAAGCTGTTTACAGAATATTCCGTAGCTTTTTGCCACAGTGTGATGCAAGGGTTCACAAAACCTGGCCTGGACATCGATAATGGTGACCACTTAATGGAGAACCAAGCAACCAAGGCGCCTTTGTCGGAGCAGTCAATGGAAGGAGGCCAATATCTAAATTTTCCGGACCTTCAAAGAAGGAACTTTAAAGTGGACGCCTGGCATACCAAAAGCTGGATAAGGCGGCAACTTCACGGCACACCTGATTTGGAGCGTAGGCCCATCACTTTCTTACTTGAGAATATCAAACAGTTTTCCCCTCCCCTAGAAAATCTTCAAGATAATTTGCACTGTGTCGTGACCCCTTCCTTGCCGTGTTCACAGGACCCCCAGCGGCCACCCCGCAGCTCCGCATCAGCAGCACCTTCTCCCTGGCCGGCACGGCCGGCGATGCGGGGCAGGCGGAGCAGGCTTGGCGGCAGACGCGCAGCAGGAAGGCGAGGCTGGACTCCAAGCTCGGGGAGTCCGGGAACAAGTCTCGGGACAAGGCGGCCCCGCGGAAGCACCGAGCAGGCAACTCCAAGGCGGGGCGACACGTGTGCCAAGTGTGCGGCAAGGACTGGCCATCAGCTTCTAAGCTGGAGATTCATGCGAGGAAGCACACTGGAGTAAAACCCTACGAGTGTGATGTGTGTGGGAAGAAGTTTACTCGGAATGGAACTCTTGTTAGGCACATGAGGGTCCACACTGGAGAGAAACCGTTCGAGTGTGATGTGTGCGGGAAGAAGTTTTTGACGAAACAAAGTCTTGATTGGCACCTGAGGATCCACACCGGGGAGAAGCCCTACGAGTGCGACGTGTGCAAGAAGAAGTTCGCTGTGAGGAGTAATCTTGTTGTGCACATGAGAGTTCACACCGGTGAAAAGCCCTACAAGTGCGACGTGTGCAAGAAGAAGTTTACTGCCAAGGGAACTCTTGATGCGCATACGAGGGTTCACACTGGAGAGAAGCCGTACGAGTGTGACGTGTGTCGGAAGAAGTTCACTCAGAAAGGTCATCGTGATTTGCACTGGAGGCTTCACACTGGCGAGAAGCCTTAGTTGTGTACGGAGAAGTGTCAATTGGGTGTCGTTGTTGAATGCCCACGCGCTTATTTATGTGTGTTGCTAGGATTTGATTTGTTCGGTTTGCTGTCTTCAAGTGGGAGGGCCGACGCAATGTGCCCGCGGACACTTGTAACAGTTAAGGATAGGTTTTTCGCGCCTCTAAAATTTGTTTCTTGACCAATTACTTGCTATTTATCTTGCCTAGTTATTGCGAAAGGTTTTTCATGTGACAGTGCATTGTTTTATCTTTATTTGTCATGTTTCTTGTGGCCATCTAAAGCTTTGTTACTGAATACATATTTCCTTTCCCATTCCATTGACTAAATTGTTTCCTGACATGTAACTATTATAAGTGTGATAAATGAAACTGTTGAAAGCCACTAAGGGTGCTCACATCTTTTCTTGTAAAATGTGCCTCTTCACAGCAAAGCGGAGATCAAGGAAGGCGAGTGTGTCTGCCGCCATCGCGGTGCTTTGCGTCTCTTTTTCTAACTCACTTTTTGTTTCAGGCCCAGACCACTGTGTAGCAAGATCGAGGGGTCGACAACTCCCATATTACCTCGTACGCAGAGCTCATATTACCTCTATATTACCTTATATTACCCTATATTACCGTATACATATTACCACAATGTGACCACACATTTATGTGATATGCTTGTTTCTAACCTAATCTAACGTTGAACTTGCCATATTGAACCATGGTATCAAGGTGTTAAAGCTTTTAGGCTTCTCATTGCGACAGGAAGAAGTTCGGATTTGATGTCCGTGCTGAACCTGACACGAAGCTACGCGCCACACTTTTCACTCCAAATCCAGTGGCTAGTTTCCTCGCCACTGGAGTGGCGTCTTTTCCAAAGCGCCAAAATTTGGCGTTGTCATCCCGGGTTTTCCGGATTCCATGCCAAATTTTGGCGTTCCACAGAGAGCGCCAAAATTTGGCGTTCCATTCCCCAGAGCACCACAGACCAGAACGCCAAAAATTGGCGCTGCAAAAGAAATGCAATAATTTGGGTTGGAAAGCGATACCCATTCACAGAAAAATAAATGTGCATACAATAGTTTTCAGTGCTTAGGATCCCCAGTTCAAATCACAGCAATTATACTATGAAAAGTAGAACTGGACCAGTAAAATACAAGACCTGCATTTGTATTTTCAGGTTACGTGTCAATGCCGCTGACCAACTATTGAATCACTTCGGTTTGGCCAGCGATTCCTGAGACACTTGGAAAATGGTACTCACATCAACACAAAAAGCTGGATATCACTGCGTCACTCTCTCTTGATAAAGGGTTGACACAGCAAGGGGTCTCAGTCCATTCTCAAATCAGGAAGACTTGAGCTAGCCTCAGAGCCCTAGCCTGGCCCTGCCGCATCACCCCCACTCCCTCTTCAAAATCTTCCTCAGAACAACACTTGAATAGTTTTGAAATGGCCCGAGAGCACTCAGGCCTTTCGAAAGTACTGTGACACGATAAAACATGACTGACACACACTATCGTTGACCGTGGCGAGACGAAATGCACACAAAAGTAACAATTTGAATGTTTCGTTTGTCTAAGAGGAGTAGCCATGTTTACTGTTTTTGTTGTTTTGCTTTTGTTGATTGCTTATGCCCCCCAACCTGTTGAGTGCGAAAAAAACGTGGAGGTGGAGGGCGAATAACAAAATGCGTGCGAATAACATGGGGAGGTGGGGGGCGAATAACATAATGCGTGCGAATAACATGTTATTCGCCCTCCACGTTTTATTCGCACTCAACAGGTTAGGGCGCATAAGCAATCAAAAAAAGCAAAACAACAAAAACAGTAAACATGGCTACTCCTCTTAGACAAACGAAACATTCAAATTGTTATTTTTTGTGTGCATTTCGTCTCGCCACGGTCAACGATAGTGTGTGTCAGTCATGTTTTATCGTGTCACAGTACTTTCGAAAGGCCTGAGTGCTCTCGGGCCATTTCAAAACTATTCAAGTGTTGTTCTGAGGAAGATTTTGAAGAGGGGGGGTGATGCGGCAGGGCCAGGCTAGGGCTCTGAGGCTAGCTCAAGTCTTCCTGATTTGAGAATGGACTGAGACCCCTTGCTGTGTCAACCCTTTTTCAAGAGAGAGTGACGCAGTGATATCCAGCTTTTTTTGTTGATGTGAGTACCATTTTCCAAGTGTCTCAGGAATCGCTGGCCAAACCCAAGTGATTCAATAGTTGGTCAGCGGCATTGACACGTAACCTGAAAATACAAATGCAGGTCTTGTATTTTACTGGTCCAGTTCTACTTTTCATAGTATAATTGCTGTGATTTGAACTGGGGATCCTAAGCACTGAAAACTATTGTATGCACATTTATTTTTCTGTGAATGGGTATCGCTTTCCAACCCAAATTATTGCATTTCTTTTGCAGCGCCAATTTTTGGCGTTCTGGTCTGTGGTGCTCTGGGGAATGGAACGCCAAATTTTTGGGGCTCTCTGTGGAACGCCAAAATTTGGCATGGAATCCGGAAACCAGGGATGACAACGCCAAAATTTTTGGGGCTTTGGAAAAGACGCCACTCCAGTGGCGAGGAAACTTGCCACTGGATTTGGAGTGTTGTCAGATTGGTTGCATCGGGTTGCATACCTTTCATCTGACAGGGGGCTCTAGCATGAAACGAGGGTGGGGTCTGCATAATACTAAAATTCTGGCCGGAACTCATGATTTTAGCCTTAGTCAAGGTACTATGTCACGTTTTTATGTTCTTTTATCATATTACCGTTATTTTATTTCCGCATATTACCTAATATTACCCTATATTACTTATATTACCGGTAATATATACTACCTCGTACACGGCTCGAGGTAGTTGTCGACCCCTCGAGCAAGATGCTTAAGTTTTGCGTGCCTGCTTCTGTTTCTTATGAGAAGCTGCGCATTTCTGCAAAATCTGCAATCTGCGCAATCTGCTCGAGCAGTCCCTATGGGAAGATTTTATTTGGACGAGGTTGTGGGTGGCGGTAGTTGGTACTTTCTTGCATTCCTATCATGCATGGCGGGTCGGTGGGTCGGTCCAGGTGGTGGTCCGTGGTGCTTGTGGCGCGCTCCTTGCACGAGGTTCCCTGGCGGACGGTGGTTCCGCCCTGCACCCGCCAAACACATTTGCCTCCGACACAACAGCCCGCGTGTTAAGGGACCCTTAACTGTGGCCATCGTGCCCGAGGACCGATGTCTTTCCTGTTTGGCTCCACTAACGCTGTGTTGCTTGCAGGTTCCGTGAAGGCCGAGGAATCGGAGGACCTTGAAGGACAGGACAATGGAGATGACGCGAATGGCGGTTTCGCAGGCGAAGGTGAGTGCGTCTGGAGCCAATGACGAGGGTCCCTTTTCAAAAGATGTGGGCGTTCCCCCCTAGACAATCTTATCTCAAACGCAGGCGAATTTCATTCAGTTTGACCATTTGGTACGGGTACGAGAGCAAGCGGAATATATTTCTACATGCACTTTTGGTTCATTTGATTTTAAATTTCAGCGCATTTCAGTGAATTTAGTAACCAATTATGTTCGTTTGTAGCTGTATCAAATGATGAAACTTGGTGAAATTCGTCTGCGCAGGGCCCTAAGTCACTCAGCAAGTTGCCCTCTTCCATGTTCTATTTGCCAAAGTCTGATGCAAGGGTACTCAAAACGTGGCATGGGCATCGATAATGGTGACCACTTAATGGACAACCAAGTAACCAAGGTGCCTTTGCATCTAGTCCAGCGGTTCCCAACCTTAGGGTCGCGACCCCAAATGGGGTCGCGAAAAAATTTCGAGGGGTCGCGGCGAGGTGGTTGGGGTCGCCTGGGGTCGCGGCTGTTTCCCCGGGTGGCAGAATTGTTCAAACCGGGCGAAAAAAGCCTTTGAAAATGCCTGTTTTAGGCTGACTTTAAGCAGCAACTGCGTCTGATCCGAGGCGGTATTTCGTCCTTCCTCAGCGGGCATTTCGTCTTTAGACCTTCCTTTAGCATGCCTTTGCTACGGAGTGCGATTATCGGCCTTAGTTTGGGAGCAGTACTGTCTCAAAGTTGATGAAAACAGGAAAAAATGCCTTTGAATGCCATTTTGATCCACTTTGAGACAATACTGCTCCCAAACTAAAGGGCCCATAATCGCACTCCGTAACAAAGGAAAGCTAAAGGAAGGTCCAAAGACCAAATGCCCGTCGAGGGAGGACGAAATACCGTCTCGGATCAGACGCAGTGGCTGCTTAAAGTCGGCCCAAAACCGTTTTTTAAAAGACATTTGTGGTCGTTTTGATCAACTTTGCGGCAATATTGCCCCCAAAACTAAGGTGGTTATCGCACTTTGTATCAAAGGCATGCTAAAGGGGGGTCGCGTGGGGTCGCGTGGGGTCGCAAAACTTTTCCTGGGGGTCTCGGAAATTTTTTTTTCCCAAAATTTGGGGGTCGCGAACCAAAAAAAGGGGGGAAACCGCTGATCTAGTCGTCTTTGTCGGAGCATTCATAGTCTATGGAAGGAGGCAAATTTCTGAATTTCCCGGACCTTCGAAGAAATTCGAAGAAAAAACACCTGAATTGCAGCGTAGGCCCAACACTCTCTTACTAAAGAACAGTTTTCTTCACGCGGGAAAAGCTTCAAGATATTTTGCACTGTGTCGTGACCCCTTCCTTGCCTTGTTCGCAGGACCCCAGGGGCCACCCCGCAGCTCCGCATCAGCAGCCCCTTCCCCCGGGCCCGGCCCGGCCGCGATGCGGGGCAGGCGGAGCAGGCTTGGCGGCAGACGCGCAGCAGGAAGGCGAGGCTGGACTCCAAGCTCGGGGATCCGGGAACAAGTCTCGGGACAAGGCGGCCCCGCGGAAGCACCGAGCAGGCAACTCCAAGGCGAGGCGACACGTGTGCCAAGTGTGCGGCAAGGACTGGCCATCAGCTTCTATTCTGGAGATTCACGCGAGGAAGCACACCGGAGAGAAACCTTACAAGTGCAAAGTGTGCAAGAAGAAGTTTGCTGTGAAGGGAAGTCGTGATAAGCACGTGACGGTTCACACTAGTAAAATCCCGCACCAGTGCGACGTGTGTGGGATGAAGTTCATTCATAAGGGTCGTTATGATTTGCACAAAAGGCTTCACCCTGGAAAGACGCCTTAACTTTGTACGGAGAAGTGTCAATTAGGTGTTGTTATTGAATGCCCACGCGCTCATTCATGTGTGTTGCAAGGAATCTATTTGTCCTGTTTTCTGTCTTTGTGTAGGAGGGTCGACTCATTGTGCCCGCGGACACCTGTAACAGAGAAGGATAGATTTTTTCGCGTCTTCGATATTTGTTTCTTTACTATTCCACTGCTTTATATCTTGCCTAGTTATTGCCTTTTTTTTGTATTACACTGTTGTAACGCTTGCGAAAGGTTCTTCATGTCGCAGTGCATTGTTTTTTTTTGTTGTTTTTTTCATTTCTCATGTTTCTTGTGGCCATCAAAAGCTTTGTTATTGAATAAATATTTCCGTTTCCTTTCCATTCACAAAATTGTTTCCGGACATGTAACTAAAAAAGTAGAGTGACAAATCAAACTGTTGTAAGCAACTACGGTGCGCACATCTATTGTTGTAAAATCACTGTTAAAAAAAAGTCTGAAAATTCAGACCAAATTGGTAAGAAGTTATTAACAGACTTTAGGTCTGAAATTCAGACCATTTAGATGGTCTGAAAAATTTAGAACTCGAGTGTCTTACATTAAAAGTTTGGTGGTCTGAAAATTCAGTCCTGTACGAAGATTGTGAACTTTAAGGTTCGTGACATGTTCAATATGACATACATAGAGAGAATCTCAGGTGTGTGTGAACCTCCAGAGAGGACAACATTGAGTAAAAATTGTGGTGAGGGAGAAGGTCCTCTGTCCTTTTCCCTGACTCTCGAGAGGCCGGCCTGTGGCACCCAAGGAAATGGCGACACGGAGCCACCCGCGAGAGGTAAATTAGAATGTGGATTGTTCAACTTCCACCCATATTACGGAGACTCGCGCTGATCGCTGGGGGCTCCGCCCCCAGACCCCCGCATGTGTGGGGCGCGTGCCGAAGTATTTTCAGTAAGTCCGTGGTGACCCAAAAGGGAAATTTTCTAAGGAAGTAAATGTACTGCTTCTTTGAAAGGTCTATTTAACGGCTTTTGACAATATAATTAAGCTACTTTTACTGTCCAAATAGATAGCTTGTATTGCATTGGCTGCTGTGGCAGTCAATGGGTGCATACAAGGTCCGGAAAATATTGAAGACTGCTTGGACAAGGATAGAGGTATGGAAAAAAACCGCAAGTCTCTACGACCACTCCTTGACCCCAAACATTTCTATGAGTGAGTCAGTCAGTGAGTCAGTCGGATTGGGGCTATATAGGTTCTTGATAAAATTAGGCCTAAATTTAGGCCTAATTAATCGTTTTGAGGATGTTGCCGGTGACGGGGACCCGATTGCGGCACAGTTTCGGAAATGTCTCGACCAGACCTACCGATAGGGCGAATAAAAATTTTTAGTCGGTCGGTCCCCTTTTTTGAAGATTGAGTGGATTTTGTTGAATTTAGGCCTATTTTTATATCGTTTTGAGGATGTTGCCGGTGACGGGGACCCGATTGCGGCACAGTTTCGGAAATGTCTCGACCAGACCTACCGATGGGGCGAATAAAAATTTTTCGTCGGTCGGTCCCCTTTTTGGCCCGCCCTTCTATTCAAAAAATAGGGGGAGGGCCTATGCATTTGCCTTTGTGTCTGTGTGTTGTTGTTGTTGTTGTTGTTGTTGTTGTTGTTGTTGGCGTCTGTGTAAAAGGGAAAGGAGTTGAGCTAGAGTAACCAGATTTGGAGGGTACTTCAGGAGTACCGTCCAAACAAATAATCCGGTGGTGCAAATCCCGTCCGGGTCGCACAAGGGCTGCTGCAGGTGCATCATGGTTTACATGAGCGGGAGGGGGATTTCCGCCATTACTGGTGCTAGCAGGGCACATAGGGGTATTTTTGGAATCGGGGCGACGAGACAAGATGAATGGACCTGGTCCCGACCCCATCGGCCGGTTTTACAAGTTGGCCAGATCAGGATCTTCAAAAAAAGGGGGGCGACCGACTAAAAAAAATTTTTTGCAGATTTCGATTGGTCTCAGCAAGACCTTTTCAACGAGGGGTCGGAAAGGGGGTCCAGGAGCCCGACTTCGTCTATTAGTCACATCAGGTTCTTGAAAAAAAGGGGGTCGACCGACTGAAAATTTTTACTTAAGTTTTTGGGTAGGTCTTGGCAAGACCTCTTCAACGAGGGGTCGGAAGGAGGGTCCAGGAGCCCGCCTTCATGAGTTATGGGAAAAAGTGCGACGGACTCGTTTTGCGCTCCTGCTGTGCCTCTATTGCAAGGAGTTGCAGTAGCATGGCCAATATGGGTATTTTCGGAATGAGGGCGAAGAGACAAAACGAAATGGGCATATTCTAAGGACAGTTGGAGTAAAAAGTGTAAGGACTATGTATATTGTGAATAGAAGGGCGGGCCTAAGTCACGATGGTACATCGATAACTTTGCTTTACCCGCTCACGGTGTGTGTGATGCGAGCGGGCCGAAGGCCCGGGCCTTCGACTGGCCAAGTTGGGTCTGATGCGAGGGCCGAAGGCCCGAGAAAAGGCCGCCGGCAGGCCAAGCTGGGCCGGCCCCCTGTCGAACCGAGTTGCCGGCGCAGCGAAGCGGAGCTGGCAATTCGGTTCGACGGAAGGGCGGGCCCTAGCTTGTTTGAAAATAGAGTGGATTTTGTTAAATTTAGGCCTATTTAATCGTTTTTGAGGATGTTGCCGGTGACGAGGACCCGATTGCGGCACAGTTTCGGAAATGTCTCGACCAGACCTACCGATGGGGCGAATAAAAATTTTTAGTCGGTCGGTCCCCTTTTTTGAAGATTGAGTAGGTTTGCGGTGAGAAATTTGTTCCCCTTTTTTGTAGATAAAGTAGGTTTTCTCGGAAACGGTAAGGAATTTTCAACTTTTGGGATTTTTCCCAATTTTCCCATAAAATTTGGAATCGAATGGAAAAAACCGCATGTCTCTACGACCACTCCTTGACCCCAAACATTTCTATGAGTGAGTGAGTGAGTGAGTGAGTGAGTGAGTCAGTCAGTGAGTCAGTCGGATTGGGGCTTTATAGGTTCTTGATAAATCTTGCAGCAGAGAATGGTTCTCATATGGCCGATTAAGTCCTGTCAATTTGGAACTTTTCAACAAATATATTTTCACATTAGAAGCCTTTTAAACAGAAGTAGGTATGTTCCAAAAACATGCGCGCCATCTAGCGGACAAACGAAATCTTGGGTTGGTCTGAATATTCAGACTTAACCATCTAAATTTTCAGACTGCACTGGTCTGAATTCAGGTTCTGAGACGATCATGTCGCAATTTTCATACCGGAAGGCATAATTTTCAGTCAAGCAGTCCGAAACAAGTCTGAAAAGTAGATTCAGACCACCAAGTCTGACAAAAGTGGTCTGAATTTTCAGATTTTTTTAAACAGCTCTTCATAGCAAATCAGGTCAAGGAAGGCAAATGTGTGTCTTTCGCCATCGCGGTGCTTTGCGTCTCTTTTTCTAATTCGCTTTTTGTTTCAGGCCCAGACCACTGTGAAGCAGGATGCTTCAGTTTTGCATGGCTGCCTCTGTTTCTTATGAAAAATTGCGCTTGCTTCAGTCGGATTGGAAGCTTTTATTTTGACGAGGTTGTGCACTGAGAATGAATTGGTCACCACCATCACCCATTAATTGGGTGATGCAACTTCGTTGCCCAAATTTTCGTGACGAAAAATTCGTCACCCGAAATTGGGTAACAGGCGTTTGGGCGCCCAAATTTGGGTTACGCCGTCGGTGACGCCGTGAGGTTCCCGATGACGTCTTTCCGGAGCCACCACGATGACCGAAAGCCTCGACACCACATTGGGTCATCGTGGTGGCCCCGGAAGAGCGTCATCGGGGACCTTATGGCGTCGCCGACGGCGTTACCCAAATTTAGGCGACGATTTTATGACTGCCCAAAATTTGGTCACCGCGGGCTCGTCACCCAAATTTGGGCAACGGTGCGTGCGTTACCCAGTGAAAGGGTGATGGTGGTGACTCTTTCATTCTCAGTTTGGGTGGCGGTCAAGGTGGTGGTCCGTGGTGCTCGTGGCGTGCTCCTTGCACGAGGTTCGCTGGCGGACGGTGGCTCCGCCCTGCACCCTCCAAACGCGTTGGCCTCCGACACAACAGCCCGCGTGTTAACACATTCACGACCGTCCGGGAACACGTGTTCCCGTACGGGAAAAAGTCCAGACGACCATCCGGGAACACCGTTCCCGGACAAATCCGATTTTCCGATTTCGCCTCACAGAATTGTCACGATCATGAGACATGTTTTTTTGGAACCGCCTCAACGAAAGACGCAAGTTACTTTTTGAACGGACCTCGTACGATGAATTTGGTACGGGAACATGATTGCCGGACGGTCGTCAGAGACATGTCCAGTCCGGGAACACCGTTCCCGTACGTAAAAGCGGCCCAGCAAGCTAAATGAGGGTATTTTCGGAATCAGCGGATCGAGCCCAGGCCATTCGCACACTTTTCGACTTGGTTTGAGCTGTTACAACCAACTCGATTTGACACGGCCCGATTCTGCTGCAGTCAAGAAGGCCGTGTGGAAATCGGGTTGGTTGTAACGGCTCACAACAGGTCGAAAAGTGTGCGAATGGCCTGGGGTCGCTCCGCTGATTCCAAAAATACCCTCATTTTGCTTTCTGGGCCGCTTTTACGTACGGGAACGGTGTTCCGGACTGGAATGTCTCTGACGACCGTCCGGGTACACGGTTCCCGGACTCAAAAACGGCCATACAAGCTTCAAACTGAGACTTCTTCGTTTTCTTCCTTATTTTTGAAAAAAATGATTTGGTACTCATTTGATCGGGAACCGTGTTTCTGTACTGCGTTCCGCATCTAATGTCGTTGGCGTCCAACGGGAACATGTACCCGTGAATGGGCATGGCCCTCGCGACCGTCCGGGCGCGGGGTTCCCGGAATTTTTTTTCGGCTGGTTGGTTTGTTATTGCATGATTCGTGCTTATATCTAGTCGCGAGGTCTGGGAGATGCATGGTTTGGTCAAAGCAGACTCCGGTCCTGAGCGGAAGTTTGCCCAAAACGAGTCCGGTCGTGAATGTGTTAAGGGATCCTTAACTGTGGCCGTCGTGCCCGAGGACCGGTGCCTTTCCCGTTTGGCTCCACTCACGCTGTGCTGCTTGCAGGTTCCGCGAAGGCAGAGGAATCGGAAGACCTTGAAGGACAGGACCATGGAGTGGACGCGAATGGCCCTTTAGCAGGCGAAGGTGAGTGCTTCTGGAGCCAATGACGAGGGTCCCTTTTCAAAAGATCTGATCTGGGCGTTCCCCCCAAGACAATCTTATCCCAAACGCAGGCGAATTTTCATTCAGTTTGACCATTTGGTACGGGTACGAGAGCAAGCGGAATATATTTCTACATGCACTTTTGGTTCATTTAAATTTAAATTTCAGCGCATTTCAATGAATTTAGTAACCAATTATGTTCGTTTGTAGCTGTATCAAATGATGAAACTAGGTGAAATTCGGCTGCGCAGGGCCCTAAGTCACTCAGCAAGTTGCCCTCTTCCATGTTCTATTTGTCAAAGTCTAATGCAAGGGTACTCAAAACGTGGCATGGACATCGATAATGGTGACCACTTAATGGAATGGACAACCAAGTAACCAAGGCGCCTTTGCAACTTCGTCTTTGTCGGAGCATTTACAGCGAACGGAAGGAGGCCGATTTCTAAATTTCCCGGACCTTCGAAGAAATTCGAAGAAAAAACACCTGAGTTGCAGCGTAGGCCCAACACTCTCTTACTAAAGAACAGTTTTCTTCACGCGTGGAAAAGCTGCAAGATATTTTGCACTGTGTCGTGACCCCTTCCTTGCCTGGTTCACAGGACCCCCAGCGGCCACCCCGCAGCTCCGCATCAGCAGCACCTTCTCCCTGGCCGGCCCGGCCGGCGATGCGGGGCAGGCGGAGCAGGCTTGGCGGCAGACGCGCAGCAGGAAGGCGAGGCTGGACTCCAAGCTCGGGGAGTCCGGGAACAAGTCTCGGGACAAGGCGGCCCCGCGGAAGCACCGAGCAGGCAACTCCAAGGCGGGGCGACACGTGTGCCAAGTGTGCGGCAAGGACTGGCCATCAGCTTCTAAGCTGGAGATTCATGCGAGGAAGCACACTGGAGTAAAACCCTACGAGTGTGATGTGTGTGGGAAGAAGTTTACTCGGAATGGAACTCTTGTTAGGCACATGAGGGTCCACACTGGAGAGAAACCGTTCGAGTGTGATGTGTGCGGGAAGAAGTTTTTGACGAAACAAAGTCTTGATTGGCACCTCAGGATCCACAACGGGGAGAAGCCCTTCGAGTGCCACGTGTGCAAGAAGAAGTTCACACAGAAGGGTAATCTTGCTTCGCACATGAGGGTTCACACTGGTGAAAAGCCTTACAAGTGTGATGTGTGTGGAATGAAGTTTTCGTGGCGAAATTTTTTTTGCAGCACACAAGCGAATGCACTCTGGGGAGAAACCGTAGAGTGTGACGTGTGTAAGGAAAAGTTCCCTTGGAAGGAAGGTCCTGACTTGCACAGGACGCTTCCCACTGGAGAGACGCCTTAAGTACAGAGAACTGTCAGTGTCCTTGTTCCATGCCCACGCGCTCATTCATGTGTGATGCAAGGATTTGATTTGTGCAGTGGTCGGTTTTCTGTCTTCGTATCGGAGGATTGACTCAATGTGCCCGCGGACACTGTGAACAGTTTAAGATGAGTATTTTTGCGCCTCTAAAATTTGTTTCTTTACCAGTTATCTGTAAAATTTATTGGCTAGCTGGTGCCTTATTTTGTAAGACACTGTTGACACGGTAACAAAACCTTCTATATGTGGCAGTGAATTGTTCTGTCTCATTTGTCATGTTTCTTTTAGCCATTGAAAGGATTTTACAAAAAGCTTTGTTATTGAACTAACATTCCCTTTCCCTTGCCCATGGCGATTTTGTTCCCGGACGTGTATTAAAGAAAAGAGTGACAAATAAAACTGTCGAAATCAACATTGGTTACGCACTATTTTTGTGAAATGTGTCTCTTCATATCAAAACAGAGGTCAAGGACGGCGAGTGAGTGTCTACCCCCATCGCGGTGCATTGCGTCACTTTTTTTAATTCGCTTTTTGTTTCAGGCCCAGACCACTGTGAAGCAGGATGCTTCACTTATTTTCACTTTCTTGGGAATCGTTGCATGCTTAACTCAGTCCGATTGAAAGCTTTTATTTTGATGAGGTTCTGGGTGGCGGTCGTTAGTTCTTTCTTGCATACCTGTCATGCATGGCGGGTCGCACTGTGAAAATTTGTTGTCACTTTATGACAAAAACGCGGATGACATTTTCATCACATTAAAATGATGACAATTTCGTCACAACTTGATGACATGTTCATCAAAGTTCCTATACTTATTACATGGGCGTGACAACAATGTCATCAAATTTTTTGATGACATTGTTGTAAGGAAAATAAGCCTTGAAATTGTCATCAAGTGACGACTCAAATTTTCACAGTGCGGTGGGTCGGTCCAGGTGGTGGTCCGTGGTGCTTGTGGCTGGCGTGCTCCTTGCACAAGGTTCTCTGGCGGACGGTGGTTCCTCCCTGCACCCGCCAAATACATTGGCCTCCGACACAACAGCCCGCGTGTTAAGGGATCCTTAACTGTGGCCGTCGTGCCCGAGGACCGGTGTCTTGCCCGTTTGGCTCCACTAACGCTGTGTTGCTTGCAGGTTCCGCGAAGGCAGAGAAGTTGGAGGGCCCAGAAGGACAGCACTGCGAAGAGGACGCGGACGGAAGCTGCCACGCCGAAGGTGAGTCTGGAGACAGTGTGGTGGCAAGGCAGGGTGAAAAGTCAGTAATACCCGATGAATGATGGGTTCCCGATAAAACTGATTCTATGTTCAGAATGCTGTAATAATAGGGTTGAAAGGTACTACAATCATGTGGGTCTCAAGGCGTGTATCGAGTACCAAGGGAGACTTGTATCATTTCTCTAAAATTGTTAAATTTACTTAAGGGGAAGTTCTGGTGAAAACTTTTTTTTTTTTCAAGATAGGTCCCATTGTGAAAATTTGTTATAAGTTTGATGTCTTGCAAAGTAATTGTTAAAATATTTCATTGGGGAGGCAATATATGCCCTGAGCCCAGTCGCAGAGCCTTTTACTCCTATTTAGGCTATAACTTTAATAATCTTCTTGCACATACTATTTTGTCATAAAAGGTTGGTCTAGTCGATTCATTTGTAAAAGATGCCGGCATGCACAACTTAAAATGAAAATTACATTTTTATTCGAAAGCTTTCGAACCAAGCATTTTACTATATTTGATCAAACATGTACAAAATAGACAAATTTTAGGGACTTCTCAGCTTAAAAGGCTTACAAATAATAATATGATGGACATTTGAGCTATGCATGCCGGACTCCTTTGAAAATGAATTGAAGAATTGAAAAATGTCAAGGTCAACCTTTTACGACAAAATAAGATGCGCAAGAAGATTTTTTAGGATACAGCCAAAATAGGCTCAAAAAGACTCTTCGACTAGATTCAGAGCCTGGCATGTGCCTTCGGAAGTCAAATTTTGGTCTCCTCGAAGAACGATTATATATTCTGAATAAATTATGACGGTGGGATCCATTTGGAAAATGGCAAGATTTTTACCAAAACCTCCCCTTAAATTGAAAAATCTTTGTGAGACTGACCTGCTTGGACAGTTTTAACTTCCGAATGTGCCCAGCCCGGTGGCTAGTCCAAATAGGTAGAAAAGCAGAAATGTCTCAAGTTACCCTCTGTGTCTCAAGTTACCCCAGTTTACGGAATGCACATTAAAGAGCATCGTAATTTCGTGGTTTAACTTACACTAAAGGAATCCGTTGCCGTGTTCACAGGACCCCCAGCGGCCACCCCGCAGCTCCGCATCAGCAGCACCTTCTCCCTGGCCGGCCCGGCCGGCGATGCGGGGCAGGCGGAGCAGGCTTGGCGGCAGACGCGCAGCAGGAAGGCGAGGCTGGACTCCAAGCTCGGGGAGTCCGGGAACAAGTCTCGGGACAAGGCGGCCCCGCGGAAGCACCGAGCAGGCAACTCAAAGGCGGGGCGACACGTGTGCCAAGTGTGCGGCAAGGACTGGCGTTACGCTTCAGAGCTGGAGACTCACGCGAGGAAGCACACCGGAGAGAAACCGTACGAGTGTGATGTGTGCCGGAAGAAGTTTACCCAGGATGGAACTCTTGATAGGCACATGAGGATCCACAACGGGGAGAAGCCCTACGAGTGCGACGTGTGCAAGAAGAAGTTCACACAGAAGAGTAATCTCGATGCGCACATGAGGGTTCACAGTGGTGAGAAGCCGTACGAATGCGACGTGTGCAAGAAAAGGTTCCGTCATAGAAGTCATCGGGCTGGGCACATGAGGGTGATGCACACTGCTGTGACTCGTTAACAATGCGAAAGCCAATTTTTTTTTTTAAGAAATTAGGATTGCGCGTTCATCTACGTGTAATGGAAAGATTCGCTATTTTTGCTGTAAATGTTTTTGTTTTGCAGGGGAGACATGAGCAGTGTGTCCCCTGTCACTGGAAGCAATTTCGAAACAGTTTTTGGTCACCTCAGTTTTGGAGTATGAAACCCTTAGAAAACATGTTGCGTAATTAATTCTTGTTTCTTATCACTCAAATTTTCCAAGCATTATCGGTCTAGATGCTATTTTTTATCCTGCCCTTCTTTGTTGTTGTTCCTGGTCCAATTTCCAGGCAACAGATCATTCTACAAGAAGCGATGCGTTAAGGTGACGTGTCAGGTTATGTTTCACTTGTCAATGGCTCGCGTAAAGCCAAAGAAATATGTTTAAGTGTAGCTGTGTTTTTGAATAAAGAGTTTCTTTGCATTGGATTTGAGGAAGACTTGTTATCTTTTAATTGACGCCAAAAAGTGTGGTAGCGACTTGGCAAATGCACTTCAGTATTGTCCTTTCTGTCAGCTGGGCCTGCTGGGAGCAAAACTCCACCTCTTGTGGCTTTACTTACTGTAATTCAAACTGCGATAACCACTGCCTACATTTTGCAATAAAAAACTTACCACAAGTTTTTTTGCTAAGATGACTACTAAAAATCTGCTGACACATTTATTGCTAATTTTTTAGCGACTCGATTTGTTGTGGAACGAGTAGCTTGTTACAGCTATTTTACCAGACCTTTCTTTATTTTTCTTCAAATGTGAGATATTTTGCCCCATTTTGGCCTTGCTATCTATTCTTTATTCAAAAATAGATAAATTTCCAGAATCTGAAGACTGGGTACACGAGCCAATTGACTCGTGCTTTAGTGGACTCAACAGTTTGTTTGGGGTAGGCAATGTGGAACCACCTCGATGACCACGAATTCGAACACACGACAGGAGTTGTAAGCCGGTACCGTGCGCAACACATCTTTTTCAGGTTTCCACATCGCAGAGGCCGACCGCACTTGTCAATGACGTATTGCTCGGCACGCAATGGGTCAGAAGACCGGTGGAGGCGGCCAAAACTAAGGACGCGTTACGAGCTCCAGATTTACTACACTCTAAAAAAAATTGTGGTAGAATTCCTATAAAAGTATCGGACGCATTTAACCTATTCGGTATGGGAATTTTGCCACACAGGACATGGTAGTTTTACCATATGCCGATATGGCAAAAATCCTATACGTGTTGTTAGGTTTCTGCTATATAAGGGTGTGGGAAAACTACTACACCGCGTATGGTAAAAATCCCATCCCAAAATGTGGGATATTTTCGTCACGTGATGTGGTGAAACTCCTTTACACTCACAGGAATACTTGATTTGAGAAGTAGAGTTCACTTCCCGAGAGAACATGGCGCAAGTGACTTTCATAAAAATTGAGATGACATGCCATCTTAGGTAGAGATATCTTTGTACCCGAGACAGCTGAGTCCTCTCTCCGATCCTAGTTTACAAGGCGGATCTTGCGTGCACCCAACCTAATGGCCGACCTCAGTCGCCAGCGAGTGGTAACATGGACAAGCGTTTTTCTCGACTGTAGTGTAATATTTTGTTGAAAACTGGAAGCCAGCGGCTAGGGCTGACACTTACTTAGGCAACAGATGATATATTTATCAAAAAATATTTACTTTCGTAACATTAATCGGAAAAACTTATTGGTGAACGGGCACGGCGCTCCAAGCGCCACCTAGCGGCAGGTTTGTGCAACCTGACGGCAGGCGGCTGACAGTGGACCATACCCTTACCCACAGCTCACCTTTTACACGGTAACTTAACAATAGACGATGTCAAAATGCTTTGGAGCGCTACGTTTATTTTCAGCTTCATAATATCACTTTAAATTTCGCAAGGATTTAAAACCATTGCTCATCTACATAAGTAGTTCTGAGTTGCCGCGATTTCCAGAGACTAACCCATTTCAAGTTTTACTGAAGAAGTCAAAATTAGCTAAAACCATGTGTGATAATGGGGCAGATCAAGATGCAAAATAAGTTTTAACCGGTTTTAACGAATCGTCTAGTGCCAATTTCTATTCAACGGTTTGACGTCACATGAGCCTTTGTTTACTTTTCTCTGAGCAGCTTTGCTGCCTTAGTCATTGTGCCGTTAGCCTGTTATCAATATTGAACGTCTGTTTTGGTCCCCTCTCTCCTGAAAAAATATTTCAGAAATGTTTGGGATTCTTACTAATGGGTTGTAGGAAAAGCAGTATACAATGGCCTGAAGTAATAGGATTTCGACCCAAAAGTGTGGGAAAAAACCGAACACGAGTATAGGAAATCGAATTCCTATACTCGGTTCGGATTTTTACGACACCGCATTGTCAAAAGAACGAAAAGCATAGGAATTTTCCAAATCACATATAGGATTGTCTTTTCCCATACCGAAGTTGGTACTTTTACCATACGACGGTGAAGTAGAAATGCCATTATTTTTTAGAGTGTAATGGGACTCGATCCGAACGCGTGGAATCCATTTTTCATCGTTTTATGACGAAGCAGTGCACGCCATTTGACCGCGTCGACAAAAGACTGCACAGGTCTTGTGTCACGATGGTTATCGTCCCGCTCAGCTCTTTTCATGGCGCGGCGGTGGAGCTCACGCGTCACCTGTCCCGACCTGTTGACGGACCTGCATCCACCACTCGACTCGCCGTTCGTCAACCGTGTTCGGCTTGCGCCATGAACCGAGGCATGGCGAGTTACGTGCTGACACGAACACAAGGCAAGATACTGCGGAACGGGACGAAGGCGCTCGAGTTGAGTGGTATAAAATATTATTTTCACCATGCCAGGGGTGTGTGAATATTTCTTCGGCACTGAAACACATGAACCAAGGCAAGATTCGATTCAGAGTCAGATTTCCAGAGTTCGATCTCGAACCACTCGTACTTTCTACATATTAGGTAAAAAGTAGACTAACAGGTTCGAATCAGCATCGAATTGTTTACTTCGATTCGAATTCAACGACTGTTTTCTGAATCGTTTCGAGAAAAAAGAACGATACGATTCGGTTCGAAAATCAGTACACCCCTACACCATGCATCTGAAAGCTTTAACAACCAGCGTTATCACTTAGTAAAACCCTCGGAGGCGTGCTCAGGGAGCAGGGTGGCTTGTCGGGAGGGTACATCCGCGTCGCCAAAAAGGAGAGAGTTTTTCTTAGGGGTTCTCAAGAACCCCTTGTTTTCGGTCTGGCGCTCCGCCCGTCAAAATTTAAACTCACCACTAAAAAAAAGATAAACCGCCGCGAAATTTGAAAATTCAAATGCAAACGCACTGCACCGTGCTCCGACACTGGAACAACTTTAAAGAGCTAGTAGCAAAAACGGGTAGCAAGTCCGCCTTCGTGGGTTTGGCAACAATTTTCTCAGCGTCTCCGCCCTTTTGAAAATCGCGAGGCTGAAGAAACGCGTAGACGCGCGTCAAAACTGCCCCGCCATTGTTGCTTCGGTAGGGTTGTCCTTGCTTTTAAAGGCTGCGATTATTTTCATGTTTTCCTCAATGCTGCGGAATAGCTCTTTCTCACAACGTAACAACAGCACGACGATTGGTTTGACAAACTTTATAAACTCGGGAGGTATGGTTTCGAAACAGGGGCGACTGAAAGTTGTGAGGTGGAACGAAGTGGTCATGGTGCTAACTGAATCAGGTTGGTCCGGAAGTATTTTCTATTAGTTTGAATTTAGCACATGCGTAGTTTGAAAAGATTTCCTGAAATCGTTTCTTTTTTTTTCACTGGCATAGGCCTATTAGGGGGAAGGAAACTTAACGTTTCTTTACGAATCAAACTTAAGTGAACTAGGGATAAAGGCAAAAATGACATTGTCACAATGAAAACCTCTGCAAGAGATTCATCAGATTGTCATGAATCTGGCCACGCCTCATGGGCCGTTCAATCATGCAAAACCGATCGCCCCTTGTTGCAGGTGCACCTAGCGTGTTGTGTCGCCAATGACTGCCATGTCTGACATAGCCTTCGCCATTGCGCCCATGTTGCTCCCTTTCAAAGTTGAAAGCAAACGCATCAACACATTTGCAGTACGTGCCGAGAAGTTTTCATTAGAGGGGTGGGGCGAGGGATGGTGCGGGTACAGCTAGGCACATCCGGAGAGACGGCAAACCTGCGCGCCCGATGGGCCTCCTACCTGCACGGGGCGTCTCAGCCGATTCGCGCGCACAGCATCAACAAAATAGACACTTTCACCAGAACGCCGAGTGAAGAACAAGATGAAGAAATGGTACCGGAACCAGTTCCCATAAACGTCTTTTTTGTAGGTTCAGACGGTTTAAAATCATAAACTAGTCTTGGTCTTATTTTTAACAATTTTTAGAACCCAAATGAACCCATAATATGAACAAATGAGCGACTTTTATGGACTGTTTCCGGCTTTTGTTATTCTTCTTGTTCTTCACTCGGCGCTCTGGTGGAAGTGTCTATTGAGAAGTCTTTTGTATAGAGGCCTAGACCCAACTTTTTCTGTATACCAATCGAAAGCCCATGAAATTTTGAGTACGCATTTGACAAGTTAGTGGCTCGGACGAGATATAGAATCTAATCAAAGAGTTATGATTATTCTGCAGGGCATATATTTGATGCCTTCTCTTCAAACGTCGTCCTATTAAAAATGTTGTTACCGCCCTCATTTCTGAGATAATCCTCCTCAAATCGTCGGTTTTACATGGCGCCTTACGAGAGAGCGTGGCTGCCACTCGCACAGCGGTGTACACTCAAGACTCCTTACGGACACCATGTATCCGCAATACGGACGGTTTTGTGCAAGCGTAATTACGGATGGATTTTGTTTGTAATACGGATGATTTTATCCGTATTACAAAGGTTATCCGTATGGTAAATATCCGTATGGTACGGACGTAAAACTCCTTGTAATACGGATGATTTCCTCCGTACTACAAGCAAAATCTATCCGTAATTGCAATTGCACAAAAATGTCCGTAATACAGATAGGATGTATAGATTTGGTTTGGGGCGTGTCCAGGGCGGATTGACTGACTGACGACAACTTGTGGCAGAGATGTTTATTGGTTCAAGGTACACAGATGACTGACAAGACAAGGACTACAGCATCATAAGGAAAACTCCGGAGGAGAAGAACAACACGACTTCCAACTTCTACCAACTTGACAGTAGTACCAACATAGTCGCCAACATTAAATTAATCTTACTACAAATATCAATACCTCCCCTTAAGATTTATTTAATCATGCCTAATTTTGAACACATCTCTGTTTGTTTAGCTCCTTTTAATGCTTTTGTAAAGATGTCAGCAACATTTTCATTTGATTTAACATACTGAAATTTTACTACACCAAGTTGCTGCATCTCCCTACAATAATGAAATTGAACATCAATATGCTTCGACCTTTCTGAAACATTTCTATCAGCATCTTTAGCTAAACCTATTGCACCTTGATTATCACAAAACACTACACAAGGAGAGCCAACAATTTCATCAACACCAAGTTCATCTAACAATGCTTTGATCCAAACGACTTCTCTAGTTATTTCACACATGCAAACATACTCCGCCTCAACGGTAGATAAAGCTGTACAAGACTGTTGCTTCTTCGAGTACCAAGACACTGCACAGTTCGCAATCATAATCACATATCCACACCTTGATTTTCTATCCGTTAAATCACCGGCAAAATCAGCATCACAATACACTTTGGCAACCTCCCCTGTTCTGCGGTAGCATAACTTGAGATCCTTAGTAGTTACCAAATACCTTAATACATGTTTTACATCATTCCAATCACTGACAGTAGGATCCTGATTTTTCTGACACAATTTACTCACAGCATAGCACAAATCTGGTCTAGTATTATTAGATAAATAAAGCAAGCAACCAGTAGCCTCTTGATACTGTTTAGGATTAAATTTTCTAAGAGATTCAGGTCTACGATCAGGATCACCAACTTCAAGAGGAGAAGACAAACCAGCAGCGTCACTCATATTGTACTGTTTAAGGATGTGAGAAACATAGTGAGATTGACTGAGAGTGATCAGAGATGGTCAGTCTGTAGACTGACCATCAGTTTTACAATCAATAGAAAGATACTGGCTATTAGATCCCAAAGATCTGATATTCAAAACATTTAACAAACTTTCCTTTAGCCACTTAATTTTTTCAGGCAGACCACACACACAAGCATCATCAACATACCAAGCTACAAATAATTGCTTATCAGTATCAACATAAACACAGTTGTCACTATAACAAGGATACAGACCTAGCTGAGTCATTATATTATCAATATGACGATGCCAGTCTTTACCACCCTGTTTAAGTCCATATAGACTTTTGTTCAACTTACACACAAACATATCACTGTCCTTTTCCTCGAAAAAGGTTGGTTGATACATGTAAATCTCTTCTTCCAACTTACTGTTCAAGTATGCTCCCTGCACATCAATAAATTCGTAGCTCCATCCTTTCTCTACACTAATGGCCATCAAGATTCTCCACGATCTTCGCTTGACAACTGGACTATAAGTTTCTGCATAGTGCTCACCAGGAATTTGTGAAAATCCCCTAGCAACTAGACGAGCCTTAAATTTGTTTACAGTACCATCAACATTTTTCTTTACTCTAAGAATCCACTTGCAGTCAATAACATGTTTACTTTTAGGCCTCTCGACTAGATCCCACACATTTTGAGAATGTAGGCTTTTGATTTCATCGAGGGGGCCACCACTCTCATTTCAGGCGTACACAAGATTACGGGATTACGGAATTACTAGGGATTACCGTGAAATTTTCGAAAATGGTTCAAACGTGAAAAATAGCTCAAAAACGTTGAAAAATACTAAAACGTTGAAAAATGACAGAATTTTGTCAAGGATTACGTGATTACGCCGTGGATTACCAGAGATTACCAGCCAATTTGTACACAGGATTACGGGGGTGGTGGCCCCCTCGGATTTCATCTTCCATAGCCTTCAACCAACTATCACGATGAGGACCACTTAAAGCTTCACAAACACTCACACAATCATCATAATCAATAAGCTCACAATTGGCAATAGCTAAATTACAACAAGAACAAGTTTTAGGAACAGGTTTTCGAGCAGACCTTCTCAAAGTTTGAGCAGGTTGTTCAATATCAACACCACCGACAACATTCTCATAATTTGGAGCATCACCGACATTCTCATCTCGAGTCTCGACTCGATCCTCTAAATTGGTATCGACAGGGGTATCGATTCCAAAAACTGTGTTCAAAACTTCTTCTGCTACTAAATCATCAATTTCAACTTCATTAAAAACAGTCCTTGAAGACTCAACAACTTCCTTAAAAGTATCACAGGTACTATCACAGTCTAACTTATAAGGAAAAACACTTTCATCAAATATGACATGGTGTCTGAACTGCATTTGTTTAGAGGTAAGATTCCACAATTTATAACCCTTTACATTTTCACTATCTCCATAACCAACTAGAATGCATTCATCAGCCTTAGGTCCAAACTTTGAACGCTTCTCCTTTGGAATTAAGGACCAAGCTCTACAACTAAATACTCTGAGTTTAGACAACATCACACTAACATCTACATTTTTACCCTTCCACAAAACCATAGGAATTTGAAAGTTAATAGATGAATTTACACACAGGTTTCTCAGAAAGCAAGCAGTGTTGACTGCCTCTGCCCAGAAGTATTGTGGCATTCCTGATTGGATTAAGAGACAGCGTGCCATTTCCGCCAAAGTCCTATTCTGGCGTTCAGCCACACCGTTCTGCTCAGGGCACCTTGGTACAGTCCTACGATGGATGATTCCATTAGACACCAAAAAATTCATAAATTCATGATTAATGTATTCTCCACCATTATCAGTTTGAATTGCCTTAATTTTACAACCATGCTGCAGTTCTACTTTAGTTTTAAAATCAACAAACTTATTAAAAGCATCACTCTTCTTAGATAAAAAATACACAGACACATATTTGGAAAAGTCATCAATCAATGTGAACACATACTTAGCTCCACCCAATGATGCAGGTTTAATCTTTCCCATAAGGTCACTGTGCACCAGGTCTAAAACTCTTTCAGACTTCCTAATACTGTGCGAAGGAAAGCCAATCTGAAATGAAATTAAAGCCACTGTAACCACTGTAACTGTCTATGCACAAGAGTTCACTGAGTTCACTAAAAACTGTGCTCACCTTTGTCATCTTTCCTTTCACACAGGTGTCACACACAGAGTCACTGATTTCAACTTCTTCAAGACCTGGCATCCTCTTCAATGCAGAGTTGTGGAGGTGACCCATACGCTCATGCCATGGATCAGCATTACGCAGGTTCAAGGCCTTGGCCTCGACATCTTGGCTGTTCGATGGTTGAGTCTCTTGACACCAAGCTGCAGTTGAAGAAGGGTTTGGCTCCATCTCAAGAGCATACACGTCGTCCAGCACAAATGCAGTAAATGCAATTGCACCGTCGCTGCTCCTGATGCCAGTTGCCTGTGTCTCCCTGCAGGTAGTCTCCACGCCTTTTGATGCCAGCCTCTTGACTGAAATTAAGTTCATTTCCAGGTCCGGCACATACAGAACTCCAGTGAGAGTTAATGACCAACCACCACACCTTTCCGTCATCTTTAACTCCACCTTGCCTTTTCCCTTGACTTGTAGCATACCCTTTCCAATTTTGACAGTGCCGTTCACCGCTTGGAACTCAGAAAACCGGCCTCTGTCTGGAGTCATGGGATCTGAGGCGCATGAATCCAGGAACCAGATGTTATCCTGTGGCATCGACTGGGTTGACATACAAGAAGCTTTGGTGATACAAGCCAAATGTCCACTGCCACTGCTGGTCGAAGGTTGAGCGTTGTTGTTGTTCTGGTTTCCAGTTGACATAGCTGCCATCTGTTTTCGGAAAGTCTCTGCACCATCACATTCGAATGACATGTGGCCCCACTCGCCACACTTGTAGCATTTGACATCACGTTTGGGTTTCTTGTTGTTCTGCTGATTGTTGAAGCTTTGGCCACCACGACCACCTCTGCCACCACGACCACCTCCGCCACCACGACCACGCCCCCTTCCTCTTCCTCTGGATTCAGAAGTTTGATTTTGACTCTGACTGTTGTTGTTGCTTGAACTTCCAGAGAAGAGAGCGTTTCCAGGTTCCGCCTCAACAGGTGCAGCAGGCTCTAGGCTGAGGGACCTTTCTTCAAGCACCAATTTGTTCTTCATGTCTTGAAGGTTTAAGTTCCCCGATGCTCTGATTGAACGAACAAGGGACCCATATTTATCCAAAGGCAGACAGGAGATCAAGAACACAGATACCATGTGGTCGGTAAAAACCAAGCCACCACGAGCCAGCTTGCTGCTAAAGTCTTGGATCTTCCTGATGTACTGATGCATGCTCATATCATCTGTCTTCTCAAAACGTCCCAGCTGCTTGATTAGCATGGCAACGTGAAGCAGTGTATATCTTCCATGGACTTGAGACAGCACTTGCCACATTCCACTTGCACGTGGCTGGTCCTTGACGTCCGGCAGAATGTCCTCGTGCACATGTTTGATGATATAAGCTCTCGCCCGCTGGTTGATCCTGTTGGTTTCCTCAGTCAACGGCCCCTCGCCGAGACCCGGGACTACGGACTCCCACAGCCCCAACTCGGTCAAATCGGCCTCTGCTTTGAGCGACCATGTTTCGTAGTTGTCGTGCGTCAGCAAGTTCGACGCTCCTCGTATGGCCTGGAGCAGTTCGTCCGACATTGCTACAACAGTTCACCGACTCGATCACGCACTTTCACTAACACGATCGCGACACGATTTGATGCGCGGCGACACCTGGGCCCATAACCTATAGATTTGGTTTGGGGCGTGTCCAGGGCGGATTGACTGACTGACGACAACTTGTGGCAGAGATGTTTATTGGTTCAAGGTACACAGATGACTGACAAGACAAGGACTACAGCATCATATGGAAAACTCCGGAGGAGAAGAACAACACGACTTCCAACTTCTACCAACTTGACAGTAGTACCAACATAGTCGCCAACATTAAATTAATCTTACTACAAATATCAATAGGATGTATCCGTAAGAAGTTTAGTGTGTACTGTACAGGTCTAATTTTGGAGGGAGTCTGAAATGTTTAGTAAACAATTCAGTTTGTAGAACACAGGTCTGCGGAGCCGGAGTAGTTGGGACGACTTTTGGACGAAAGACGGATATCAAAACCGGACTAAAACTATGTAAACGTAATTTCTGAAAACGTGTCAGATTGCATGTCGCACAATGGAGCCGTCTGCAGATCACAACAGTTTTTTTCTTCAGTCCGTGGAATGTTTTCTTTTCCAGGGTCCATTCATAGCCTACGGCCATTCGTTCAGCCCGTGCGAGTCAGACGGCACCGCCGTGATCTACATCCGAGCAACGCACTTCAACCCCCTGAAGCCCTACGACCTGCAGCTACTTACGGGAAATTTAACAATCAAAGATAATTTCACAGACAATTCGTGGGTGAGAACAGAATTGTGCTGACACGAGGACTTTGTACAAAGTCGTAACAGAACTCGCAAATTTTTGTGCGATGTCGCACACGACACTGCACAAATAACCGTTAGTTTAAGTGACTGTGCGCACAGTGGTCCTTTGACCCTCGCCACACGCCAATTGCCATCTCAACACGCAGAAAATTGTCCTCTAGATTTTAGTACAGCATCTCCTATTGCAATCCTCTAAACAAATCCTGTAAACGTCGTACTAAAGATTAGAGGATGTGCTAATGGATTTGTCCTCTTATCCCATCCTCCAAACAGCACACTGTAGATTAGAGCATATTGAGTGATTCCATATCTAGGAAGCACAAGATTTTTTTTATTGTCGCCGATCTGGACCAAAATTTTACCACATGTACCTCTAGGGTAGAAGAAGATGCCCAAAAATTTTGAAGGTGCTAGGTCGACCCAGTCCGGAGCAGTGGGCCATAGTGTATTTTGCCAC